CAATGAGCTGAACCAGTGGCTCTCGGCCCTGAGGAAAGTCTGCGGGAACAACACCGAGATGCTATGCTCCTATCACCCGGGAGTGTTCAAAGGAGACAAATGGACCTGCTGCCACCAAAAGGATAAAACCGGTAATGTGCTTGCCTGACCCCCTGCCAGCAAGGGGAAGGCGAGGGAGTCCGGGGATGAGAGCAGAGAGGCATGGCTCTTGGGTGGATTGTAGGCCTGTAGTTCTGCCATTGCCTCATTGTGTGACCTTGGGCAAGTCACCTGACCTCTCTGTGCCTTCGGGCCCCATCTGTGAGGTGCATGCCTGGGTGTAAAGCGGGTGTCTATGCTACAGGTGGGTGGGTGTTATGGGTTCCTCTCTCTGCCTGACCCACAGAGGCTGTGACTGGTACAGCCCAAACTAGGGACGTGTGGGTCGTCTGCTCGTGCTTTTAGCTGTGGAGCTCCCCGGTTGTCTGCCAATAGGGCTTGGAGCCCCTTGGCTCAGGGCTTCTCTAGGCTTACGAGGCCGCACCGGTGCAGCTGCGTCGCTGTAGTGAAGACGCTCCTGCGAGAGCATCTCCCGTCAGCATAGGTGCTCCACCTCCCCGAGAGGCGGTAGGAGAAGCCGTCCCGTCGACTACACTGGGAGTTCGGTTGGATGGGTGACCACGCTATACCGACATGAGTTTGTAGTGCAGGCCACAGCTCAGGTGCAGGAGTATTGTTCCTGTCCCCCTGGGCACGGAACTGTGTTCATTTGCTTTATTGATGTCTTGGGAACGCCCGGACACTCCCTCCTCCAGGGAAGCCAGAGCAGGGGGAGGGCAGGGAAGTCGCAGAATGCCTGCGGGAGTGTAGTTAAACTCGTGGGCTCTTACATCCACTAGAGGGCACCACTCCGATACCAACAGGTGGCCTTTGCCAGCCCACCTCAAATTAACCATCTGTGTCCTGGCTGCTGTCGTCTAGGTTTGGGATGTGATAAAACCCGGCACGGAGTCACCCTGCAGGAATGGAATGACCCCCTGGATCCAGATCTAGAGTCTCAGTTAATTTTTAGACACCTGTTTGGAGTGAGGGAATTAATGAGGTGAGTCATTTGATTTGTGCGGCATGACTGGGGCTGTTTCCCTCTAGGAGTTTGCACGCAGGGATCATCTTTGGGCCCTGTAAGCATGAAACAAGTCTCGCACACTGTCTTCTTACTCGCGGGGGACCATCTCTGTGGCCCCAAGGAGGGAGGGGGCCAATCAGCACAGTGAGTTGTGTCCCAGGGGCCAACACTCTGCCCCTGGCAATCTGCCTAAGGCCCAGGGCTCTGCTCTATTTCAAAGGTCTGGCTGGAACTGGCCTGGAGTTTGTACCTGTCTGTGCACATGTCCCAGGCGTTCTGACTGAAGCCAGGGTGAGGGAGATACCCCAGGGCCCCCCTCTACACTGGTCTGCAGCCTTGGGATCCTGTGCAGAAAGAGATGAGTCATTAGTGACTAGCCTAGAAATTGGAGATTGGAATCCCTGTTAGGTCCCATCTCGCCCATCCTCAGGCCAGGATTGTTCCCTTCAGTTTATTTACCAGTGCTCTGTCCATTCTAGTTTAAATGCCCCAAGCGATGGGGCTTTCACTGTTTCCCTTGGGAGGTTCTTCCATTATCTTAAGGAACTCACTGTGCGGGAACTCCTTCTGAAACTCACCCTCAGTGTTCCCTTTCTGACTGTCCCTGTCCACACCCTGTATCACCCTGAACAGTTCCTCCTTCCTGAGCATCCACTGGGGCTCCATCCCAGAGAAGAAAGTGTGGGTGAGCAGAGGGATGGACATATACATGAGGCTGGGATGGCTGCTCAAAGGTGTTTAGAAGAAGCCACCATGTGTCAGAGTTAGCCAAGGGGAGCAGACACATACATCTTAAACTTGCAAAGTCCTGACCATCTCATGAGATGCCGATTGTCTTCAACTCCTGTTATCGGTGGCATTGTGCAGGATTGAAACTTCTGGCCTCTTGGCTTTCAATATGGTGGGGCTAATCAGTTAATTGTGGATTACACCTGAAAACCCATTATTGTTTCATCTTTCTCCCTTAAGGGAAAAGTACCTGGAGATTTTGACGGAGAAAAATGAAAATGTTCTTCTGAGCCAAAGTGGAGGTATTGTTTTGTTTGATTAATCTTTCCAAGGTACCCATCACTACCACCTGGGCATGTGCTGAGATTTCGCAATACATCTAATAACCGGCACTCTTCTCCCTTTTCCCAGACAACGCCACATTACCTTGTAATAGTTCCCTGTCCTCGCCATCAACCATGGCTATCAAAATTTTCAACCAGCCCTAGCTATCATCCTCCGCTGCTGGAAGCGGGCTCAAATTTCTGGGTGGTGCTGTCTCTTCTGGTGATCCTTGGGGCTGGTAGTGTTGTCAGCAGCTGCTGTGCAAGCATCAGTCCAATTCTTTTTGGTTCCTTGCACCTCCACAGACCCCAAAAACGTGGATGGACCCACGAGGCTATTCCAGGTGCTGCAGGACCTCGAAGACGCCCATCACACAGCCCTCTTCAGCTCAGGCACCCTAACTGATCGGGACAGAAACTGCCTCCTGGAGCTGCAGACGTGACTCCTGGAGTGAGCCACTCCATCGGGGTGATGCCACTGCCTCTCGCTGTGCTCACCCGGTCCCTCTGCATCCATCAGAGCTGCCAACACCAGACATCTTTGCAACAGGAACTCCCTCGACACCGTGTGCTCTCACACATATTGCCCTGCTGCTCAAAAAGCCAAGCCATGAACTTCTGCTAGCTTAGTGTGTCTCCATTAGTGAGTAACTGGTCAATGACCCTCTTGTGCTTTCACTAGTCCCCAGAGCGGGATGTGTGGCCTGTGCTCCATCCAGAAGGTACCACAGAAGCTTTCACGTCTCACCTCTGCCAGGGTTGCACTAGGGAGTCTCTCCACTATTATTTTTACCTTTCAGTCAAGATCCAGCTGTTTTGTCAAGCCTGATCTGATGTGAAATCGTAATTCCTCAATGCAATCTTATAGCTGAGCTGCTTCAGCCTGGGTTTGTCTCACCAGGGTCAAAATGACTCTGTGGTGCACTGAAGCCAGTTGTAATGTACAGGCTGATGCATCCACAGCAAAGGAGGGGAAATTTGCTAATGCAGGGGACTGGGAGCCAGGTGGCCTAGATTCCATTTGCTCTTCTGCCACTGACCCACAGTGTGAGCTGTGGCAAGTCCTTTGACCCTGCTGTGTTCCTCAGTTTTCCTATCTCTGAAATAGGGATGATGATGAGGCTTCCCCTTTTTGTTAAAGTGCTTTGCGACCTTCTGATGAAAGGCGCAATGGTGGTGCAGAGTATTAGGTAACTGGAGGTGCTGGCTGCCACCTGGAATTTCTAACCAGTGTCACTGAGCTGCACATCCATATGTCTCACTGGGTTGTAGCCGTGGTAAAGGAATGCAGGTTCAGCTTATTGAATGAACATGGACAAGGCAGCACCTTAGACCCCATTGCATGGTACGTGGTTACCGCTGGCTGCTCAGGGACCATTCCACACCTTGAGGAAGAAGAGTTGGGGAAGTGGTTCATTAGAGCAGGTGATTCTGAGCCAGGACTCCTGCTTCTATTCCCATCTCCCCCCACCCTAGGTAAATTGCTGCTTTTTTAGAAGCACTTGGCATCCACCTGCAAGAGTCAGTGCGAGCTGCAGAGGTTCAGCACCTCTGAAAGCCAGGGCCTTGACCTTTGTGTCTGTTTTTTCTGATCTGTAATTGTGGATAACATTTATTAGGCTAAACTAAGTTCTCTATTGCAGATTTTCACTCCCTCTGCCTATCTCTCAGGGGTCTTGTAAAGCCTACTTACCTGTCAAGTGGGTCTTGATCCCAGGAAATGCAAAACCCTATCTATATAATGGCTTCCTGTCTGAAAAGTGCTTTCACATCCCTGGCGAAAGGTGCTGTAGAAATGCAGACTGGCCACTACCACCTGACCCACGTTTCAGGCCCAGATAAACTGATGCTCTGAAACTATTGAGCCGGTGGCCTGGCTCCTACTCGGTGTCCTGCACTAACTAAAGCGCTGGTTACAAACAGTCTGGTTCATGGCCATTTGGGTGTCAGAACAGTGCACCTGCTGGATCACGTGGCCCCTCCATTGAATGGACGGATAATGCCCCAGGTTCGACCTGCTGTTCCGTGTACTGTTATCATTTTAAAAAAGGAAAGGAGTACGCGTGGCTGCTGCTGCTCTGAAACCTCTTATCATTTAGCGCAGGACAGGGCCTCAACCCGCTCCAGCAGCATGGTGGAGGGACCCAACTGACCAGCCCCTGGCCCCGGAACATGTGTCCCTTTGGGCAGGGGCTGGGGTGTTCATGGCAGAGGAGGCTTAGCCCTCAGTCGGTGTAGATGGCCTAAGGAAACAGACTCCAGAGGAGACCGGTGCCGAAGGGAGTAACCACGGCCTCTGCCTTCCCGGCCGCTGTCCAGAACCGAGGCTGGAGCAATAGCTGTGTAGGGGGATGCACAATAAACCCCTCTTCTATCATGAGGCCCGGGCTTTGCTTTTCCTTCCCTGCCAGCATCTCCCGCGTGAGCAAACGCCAGTGGGGTGAGCGCAGGGGGGGGGAGGGGCTGCCCCGGGCAGAGCCCGCCGTGGCCTCGGCTCCTGCTGGCGGCTCCGGCCCGGGGCGGGGGCGGGGCCCCTTGGCGGCGTTGCCATCAGTCGCGACGTGCCGTGGCTGCGTCACGCAGGGCCCGCCCGGAGCGGGTCCGCGTCCCGCGAGGCTGCCCCCGGCGACGGCGCTGGTGACGCTGGTGGGGGCGGTGCCCCGGCCGTTGGTGTTGCCATGGGTGACGCTGGTGGGCGTGGCCACGGCGTCACAGCGGCGGGGGGGGGGTGCTGACGATGGTGTTTCTGTGGCTGAGGGCGGGGCCCCGGGGCCAGGCCGAGCGGCCATTTCTCCTCGCGGGCGGCCCGGGGCGCGGGCGCCGCCGCCGCGTAGTGCCCCGGAAGCGGAAGTAGCGGGGCCCTGGGCGCTCCCGGAAGCGGAAGCTGAGCTCGGCGCTGCTGGAAGCTGAGCTCGTTACCGCCGCAGGATGAACGCCCCGCCGGCCTTCGAGTCCTTCCTGCTCTTCGAGGGGGAGAAGAAGTGAGTGCGGGGGACGGGGCCCAGCCGCTGTGAGGGCCCGAGTTCGATCCCCCCGAGCCGGGCAGCGTCAGACACCCCCCCCCCCGTCCGCTTCCAACCCCCCGAGCCCGGCAGCGCCAGACACACCCCCCCGGGGCCCCCTTCGACCCCCCCTCCCGGCCCCCTTCCAACCCCCCGAGCCGGGCAGCGCCAGACGCCCCCCCTTGCCCCTTCCAACCCCCCCCCGCCCCCTTCCAACCCCCCGAGCCGGGCAGCGCCAGACGCCCCCCCCCCTTCCCTTCCAACCCCCCCCCCCCCCCCCCCCCCCCCCCCGCCCCCTTCCAACCCCCCGAGCCCGGCAGCGCCAGACACACCCCCCCCCCCTTCGACCCCCCCCCCCGGCCCCCTTCCAACCCCCCGAGCCCACCCAGACACACCCCCGCCCCCTTCCACCCCCCCCGAGCCGGGCAGCGCCAGACGCCCCCTTCCCCTCTCCCTCCAACCCCACCCGCCCCCTTCCGCCCCTACGAGCCGGGCAGCGTCAGACCCCCACCCCGCCCCCTTCCAACCCCCCGAGCCGGGCAGCGCCAGACACACCCCCCGGGGCCCCCTTCGACCCCCCCCTCCCGGCCCCCTTCCAACCCCCCGAGCCGGGCAGCGCCAGACGCCCCCCCCCCCCCCCTCCAACCCCACCCACCCCCTTCCAACCCCCCGAGCTGCAGCCCAGACACCCCCCCCCCCCCCCCCCCCCCCCCCCCCCCCCCCCCCGCCCCCTTCCAACCCCCCGAGCCCGGCAGCGCCAGACCCCCCCCCCGCCCCCTTCCAACCCCACCACACCCCCTTCCAACCCCCCGAGCCCGGCCCCCGACACCCCCCGCCCCCTTCCAACCCCCGAGCCCGGCAGCGCCAGACACACCCTCCGCCCGCCCCCCCCCCCCGAGCTGGGCAGCGCCAGACACACCCTCCACCCCCCACCACGCCCCCTTCCGCCCCTACGAGCCGGGCAGCGCCAGACGCCCCCCCCCTTGCCTCTTCCAACCCCACCACGCCCCCTTCCGCCCCTACGAGCCGGGCAGCGTCAGATGCCCCCCCCGGGCCCCCTTCCAACTCCCCGAGCTGGGCAGCGCCAGACACCGGTCCCCCGGGGCCCCCTTCCAACCCCTAGAGCCGGGAAGCCCCAGCCACCCGCCCCCCCAGGGCCCCCTTCCGCCTCTCCCCGAACCCCCCACCCAGCTGGCCAGCGCCAGCCCCCGGGGCCCCCTTCCAACCCCTAGAGCCGGGGCAGCGCCAGACGCCGGCCCCCCTTCCAGCCCCCCGAGCGGGCCCGGCCCGCCCTTGGCGCGGGGGCTGCTTTGCGGGGACCCCGGCCGCTGCCAGGCTCTGCCGGCGGGGGGGGGGCGACTCCTGCCCCTCTGCTCAGCCGCGCTCTGTGGCGTGGCCGCCCCGCGGCCCGTCCGCTGCCCCCTCCAGAGTCCGGCCTCCCTGTGCGGGGGCGGGGGGAGCCGAAAACCACCTCGAGCCAGTTGTGCCAAGGGAGCTGCTGGCCCCATCAAGCGGGGCTGGGGCAGTGCTGGGGAATTAGCCCCTTTCATAAAACGGAGCGCCCAGCTGGGTCCAAGATCCTACTGGCCCCTTACCGATGGTTTGCTGGCCAGCCGGGGGGATGCCTTGTGGGATCACACAGGGGTCTGGGGCAAATCAACATTTTCATTAACGACTTGAACAATGCAGTGAAGAATAGGTTGATAAAGTGGGGATGACACCAAGCTGGGAGCACTTTGGAGGACAGGATTAGAACTAAAAATGACCTTGAGAAATTAGAGGACTGATCTGAACTCAACAAGATCAAAGAACTGCATTTAGGAAGGAAAAATCAAATGCATTAATACAAAATGGGGAATAATGTCTAGTACTGCAGAAATGGATATCGGTGAGCTGTAGCTCATGAAAGCTTAGGTTCAAATAAATTTGTTAGTCTCTAAAGTGCCACAAGTCCTCCTTTTCTTTTTGGGATTATAGTGGATCACAAATTGAATATGAATCAGCAGTGTGACGCTATTGCACAGAAGAAAATATCATTCTAGGGTGTTTTTACAAGAGTGTTGTAAGACACAGGAGGTAATCTGCCCACTCTACTTGCTACTGGTGAGGCCTCGGCTGGAGTGTTATGTCTAGTTTTGGGTACTACACTTTCAGAAAGATGTGAACCAACTAGAAAGAATGCTCAGCAGAGCAACAGAAATAATAAGAGGGTTAGGAAATGTGACCGATGAGAGAAGGTTGAAAGAATTGGGCATATTTAGTCCGGAAAAGAGAAGGGTGGGAAAGACCTGACCAGTCTTCAAATATGTAAAAGGTGTGTTAGGACCAGAGAACAACTGATCTCCAATGCCTACTAAAGGCTGGGGTGTGTGTGTGTGTGTGTGAGTAATTGCAACAAAGGAGGTTTAGCTTAGATAGTAAGAAAAACTTTCCAACCCTAAGACTAGTTCTGCACTGGAACATGTTACCTAGGGAAGTTGTGGAATACCCATCATGGAAGGTTTTTAAGAACGTTTAGCAAATACTTGTCAGGGTTGGTCTAGGATTACCTAATCCTCCCTCAGCGCAGGGGCTGAACTAGACCAGGGATTGGACTAGACCAGGGATTGCAGACCCCCTGAAACCGCTTGTGGACTCCCGCTTCAGACTGCTGGACTAGATGAGCTCTAGAGGTTCCTTCTATCCCTACATTTCTATTATTGTAAAATCTCAACAATTGGCAGAGGGACTTTTAATTAGGTGGCAGACCATATATATATTTCCAGTTTAGAGATGTTTCATTGGGTGTACACAGTCCTAGGACATGCAGTCAAAAACAAGTATGTCCCAATAAAGTCCTTTCATTTCAGACACCTGCTCTGTTCTGCCTTAACGTTTCGTACATATGGCTATGTTTTCGCAGCTGCAAAATGACAATCCGTGAGACACAGTGTCTGAGTCGTGCATTTGTTGCATGTTGCACCTTTTACCTAGTCTCTGAGTTGCATAATGAGTCAAAGTTATGGGTTAAGTGAGAAACTTTCAGAAATACAAATGGATTAAAGATGGGGGGGAAAATTGACAAGCTAAATCTTCTAAAAAAAAAAGATCTGAATTATTAAAGGCAGCGTCTCCTCAATAGACAATTTGGCAAACAGCTCTAAAGTATAGAACGTTTTTGCATTTACAGTATTCATTGTGAAGTGACATTTAGAAGCTATAATTTAAAAAATGGTGCAGTTTTGGGGTTGACGAATTATTCTGTAATTCACCCACAGAGCTTTTCAAATTATCTGCTAAATTACCTTTTTATTAGTGCACTGTGCAGAGTAACTTTGGGTACATTAAAAAAATTCTCCCTTGCCAATAACCATATACAGCTACAGCTGTGTGGGATGCAATTGCTATAACAGTAATTCTTAAAGAAGTAAACCGGGCTCTGAAATTCATTTGTTTTCTTCTGTCTCTGTTGTGCTGCATTTGCAATGCTGTAGGGATGACATGAATTATGTAAGGATCATTATGATCCTATATTGACTTCATAACTTTGTCCAAAACAGGTACAAAAGGCTCAATCTGGTGGGACTCTCAAGATAACTGTGTTTGACTGAAAGCACAGACTGGTTTGGTTTGATGTTCGATAACATCACTTGCTTTAACACTAGTATTTTTCTTTTACTCAGAATCACAATTAATAAGGATACAAAAGTACCAAACGCCTGTTTGTTTACAATCAACAAGGAAGACCACACGCTTGGAAATATCATCAAGTCGTAAGTAAAACCAATTCCTGTTGCACAGGGTTAGAAGTAAAGTTCTAATGGGGATGCAGTAGCTTACGTTTAGCTGGGAAGATTGCCAAGGTGACTCTAACCATAAACACCGGATAACTAGCAACCAGTCAGTTTCAATAGCATGTTTGGGTGATGTCTGCAGGCCTAGTTGTGGTAGTTAGGGATGTGAAATTATGTTCATTGACACCCACTTCTCATTGTGGCCCTTTTTACCACCACGTGTAAAATGTTGAGCTAGGGGTTCAGTTCCTCTGCTCGTGTGCACATGCTGGTGCGAGCTCCTGGCGTGAGCAGGAATAGCAGCATGGCTGCAGCGGACCCCCCCACCCCCCGTTTTCAGGCAGGTTTGTACTTCTGCCGCTATGAGGGCTAGCAAGACTGTGTGTACGTGAGCATGTGAATCATACCTCCACCATGGGGGTGGGCAAACTGACGGCCACATCTGGCCCACGGGATCGTCCTGCCCAGCCCTTGAGCTCCTGGCCCCTCCACTGCAGTTGTGCTCCTGCATGGCTCGCGCCTGCCCACCTCCCAGGCTTTCCAATAAGCCTGTCCTGCTGCTCGGAGTGGCATGGTAAGGGGGCAGGGAGCAGTTGGATGGGGGGCGGTTAGGATGTATCAGGGGGCAGGAAGTGGGTGGGGGCCAGGCTATTTGGGGGGCACAGCCTTCCCTACCTAGCCCTCCATATGGTTTTGCAACTCTGATGTGGCCCTCGGGCCAAAAAGTTTGCCCACCCCTGCTCTAGGGCATAGTGTGAGCAGATACCCAAAAGTTAGAGGCTAAGGTTGGTTCTTTGTAATGTGGTAAGACGTCTCCCCCCAGGTGAAACTGGCAGTGACCTTGGGGGCGTTTCTTCGTCCTTTTTTTTTTCTTTCCCTCCTCCTTTTCAGTATGTGGGTGCGGGTTGCTTGCCTAAATTATCTGGTTATATCTCACTTGATCATTTCCCTGCTGTTACTGAGCCTGATGCATCTTGGTCTCTGCCTGTGGCACATAATAGTCTGGTCTTCTGTGGGCTATAATACTTTGGTTGCTGGGTGGTGGTATTGGCCTGTGATATACAGGAGGTCAGAGTAGATGATCTGGGGAGCCCCTCGGGCCTTAAAATATGATTCTCAATCTGGGTGGCAAAGGTGCAAATGCCTGTTTTTCTTCAAATTACAAATTAGCATTGTAGCAGTACACAGTGATTCTAGTGAAGCAAGAAACTCTTAATTTAACAGTGTAGGAAATTCAAGAATCTCCAGGGCTGAACCAGGTTGACTTCACACAGTTGGACATGGCAGGGGCTAATCCATTCATAGCTGGTGATGCAGTAGGTCTTTTGCTTAAGTCCCTTCTGTAATTTATGAACTCAGAACAGCAGCATGTGGCTTCCAGTGGTAGGAGTAAATAGTGCTGCCTTTAAACTTGGGCTCTCTGCATCAGATTATTGAAGTATGCTTTTGATAGCTCTTCTGCATGGACTTTGCTGAAAGTGATTCTAAGTTATACCCTGGTGCTTTGTTCACATGACCACCACTGCTCAGTGCTTGTCAAGCATTTCCCATTATCCCTGCTGTTCCAGTCCTGGACCTCTAAGGTAGGAACGGTCAATGCTGCCAAAATGTGCAGTGGCTTTATGAAATGCGTGTACTGCGTCTTATTAGGATAAGATAAATCTTGCTCTCAAGCTGAGATGGGCATAGACATAACATTTCCTCTAGCCCTCTGGAAAAATTCTCCAAGGATTGAATTAGTCTGTTAGAAAGATGTGATCTATGGCAGACCCAACTTCATGCTTTGGGATCTTACAGGTAACTGTTTAAGTCATCCGTCTTGTATCCTCTAAATGCTTTCCCCCTTCCCATTTCAGGCAATTACTGAAAGACCCTCAGGTGTTGTTTGCAGGATACAAGGTCCCACATCCTCTGGAACATAAAATCATCATTCGAGTTCAGACCACTCCTGATTACAGTCCCCAGGAAGCTTTCACCAATGCTATCACGGACCTGATCAGTGAACTCTCCCTTCTGGAGGAGAGATTCAGGGTAAAGTATCACTAATGTGGGGAAAAGTTACTGAAACTGTGACCTGGTTTACAAATGGCAGTTAACCTTACAGCTGTTGCTTTCGTATGAAAAATGTAACTTATGATCAGCCCAATTCAGCTCTGAATACCCATGTGTAAATTCCATTAAGCTGGAGCAGAATTTGGCTGTTTTACCACAGGACACTTGAGATTTTGTTCATTTTCTCACACACCTTGTCTCTCTAGGTGTCTAGCATTTGCTTTCTCTCCCTTTTCACAAGCATTTAAGTGTGAAAGCCTGTTGTCTGGAACAGCTTACTTGAAAAATTCTGCCTTTGAAATCTTTCCCATGCCAAGAACTCTCTTTCACTTATGTGCCCTTCTGTAACTACTCCATTCCTTGCTGTACAGTGTCTATTTAACCTCTAAAACTGTTTGAGATACCATTGGTCTGAAAAACATTTCAGACTAAAGCTATATTGAGTCCTAGCCGTGACTTGTTTTAACATAACTGCTTTATTCTTTGAGATCTCAAAGATTAGTTGCTGTGGTTGACACACAGGAAACCCTTTGAAACTTACCCTCTTTTCATGTAAATGCCTTCCAGTAATGAATAGAAGGTAAGGGACCTGTATAAATATGCATTCTCCGTCAGAACATGACTTGGGTTAAAAAAAATCTGATTCAATATTTTTTAATCTCAGTTTTGCTCAAATTATTGGTCTTCAAACCCCATTTAGAGAGGAAATAAATGAGATCACTTTCTGGTTCAGAATTCCTTTAGTGATCTATTTCTTGTGTTTTACAGGTTGCTATCAAAGATAAACAAGAAGGAATTGAATAGAAACAGGAAGCTTCAAGTGGACTATTTTTTTTTACCTGGAGTGTGTTATAAATAAGTTTTTTGTTTTCATTATAGTGGATGTGACTCCACTTCATTGAACAAGTTCTTTAAAATAATCCTTAAACTTTTTCAGTAAGAATTCATGTCTCTAATAACAGTGGCCCTAAATTCACTTATTTTTAATTAGTTTGCCCAGAGAAAGCAGTATTTTGATTTCTGTACAGGATAAATTATTTGCAGGTAGGATGGTAATTGTATCAGTTGAGCTATTAAAGTTTTTTCAAAGCTGTGTGTGAGACATCCACAATCTATCATTTACTGTCACACAGAGATAAGACCCTATGAAACTTAACAGCTGGGTAGTTCTCCACTTTATTTTGTAGCGTGGAGCATGTTAAAGTGACTGCTTTTTCACCATGCAGTATTGGGCTTAGTAGCTGTACTTCCAGAACAAGATTAACTGGTGGCTAATATATTCTTGTACCACTGCTGACCCTCCTACATCTGTAGCAGCATTCCCTCCCATCCCCAGAAGTCATCTCTTCACTACCAAGTTAACAGGTATTACATTTTATTAAGTATCATTTCTATAAAACAAATACACAAAATTGTGAAAACTCACAGTAAAAGAAAGTGGGTATTGTCAATGACAGGATGTGGGCCAAGTCCCTTTGCGTTCTCTCTTGCATGATAAGGGCTGGTTTAGAAAACTTCATGGTTACTCTTGGAAACAATCACTAATACTGCACTATTTCAAAACATCACAGGAATGAAGTTTTCCATAAAGAACAAGCTATGTTTTCTTCCATACAGCTGCTATATTTACGCCAGTTAAAGCAATAAGGTAAGTAAAAGTAGGGTCTGTCACCACATTGTTTATTAAGACTTCAGTCAGCAGCTCCCCATTTGCTCGAAGCTCTGGCCACTCAAGAATCTAGCAAGAGAACAGATTTAGCTCAGAAAAGCTTATACAAAGTAAGTCTTGGTTGGGGTTTACCTCTGTTTAGAAAGGAAAGGTAATGTACAGTCTGTGCAAAGCCCAAGTCTTCACTGGGGGAGGGTATATAATCTTACCACAACTGGTTAGGGTTGTGGAGTAGTTATTGGCTAACAGCATGCAACATCAGTAGCCTAGAAGAGTCACCTACAAAAACTACATGCTGACAATTAGGGCCTCAGTCATTGGGAGTATACAACTCCGATCTAGGACAGTAAATCCTTCATACAGTATTATTAGGCAATTGGAGATGTTTATCCACGCAGATTTTCAAGAAAAAATTAGATGGTTGCCTCTCAAGTTAGCTAAAATCTCTCTTCTTCCAACAATGTGTACCAAAACCTGAGTTAAGACAGTAAGTAATGCAGAGAGAGCCCTGTTAGAGGGGGGAGAGATCATCTAGTTTTCAGAGCTGGTGGTGAAAAAATTAACAATTTGCACTGAAAGGCTTCTCACCTGCTATCCAACTGCACCAAGAGCTTGGAAAAAGCAGATTTACCACACATTTTGGTTCCCTGCTAACTCTTAACAGCCCCTTTTAGAATCAAATTGAATTTTAAAAGAGCCATCTGAGATATTTAAGGTGCTGTTTAGCATATGGAAGTAACAACTTTAAGTAATTTGTCTTATGCCTCCTGTTTGCACAGCCTCACTGATGGGGAATATAGTTCAATATAAAAGGCCAAGGCCTACCTGCGTGGGAGCTATTCTGTTCTCTGAGCGTTTTCCCTTGGAGGCCCTCCAGGCTGAAGAGTGCTTGCTGAGATTGTACATCCACACACTTCCCTTTTCATCGCCACAGAACACATACTCTGCTGCTGCAAGAGCAAAGGAACCAGTGCAGGGTTGAGATTTCTGATGGCCAAGACCAAAAACTTCTCACCCCTCTGCTGGTGGCACAGAGCCCAGTATAATGTCACCTTCCAGATGAAATGTATCCCATTCTTAATTGCTGCAGAGTGTTAAGTAAACCAGCCTTACAAAATTCAACTCTAATCATTTGTTGTATCATACTAAGGAGGTGCTGAGTGGACTTTGGGCTCAAGCTTGTGTGTTTTTATGTCTATTTTGGCTGAAATAAAGTCGTTAACATTAGTCTTGCATTGCTAGTGTCCTCAGTTGGGTGCCTCCAGCAGACAGCTCTTTCTCCTTTCAAAGTGCTGCACTAGGAGGGGAAAGTATGTGGATTATTTTAAGATTCAGGTTCCTCCCAGAAATTTGTCACTATTAAGAGTGCTGGGGGGAATTTCTACCACCAGTTTGAAATGCAGCACAAATTCTAATATGCTGTCCACCTGTGAGCACCCCTCTGAGGTAGATATTAACATTTTACAGAGGCAGCAAGGTCGGATATAAAATCCTTACCCTGCCCAAGGAATCAGGTAAGTAAAGCAGAAATGGCAAGATCTATTAAAAGAACAACTTGTACCTTTCACGTCCTTCCCCAATAGTAGCTTCTTGAGTCCAGTCCAGCCTTCTGCATTGTTAGCTATAAAAGTGGGCTTACCTGGACAGGTGCTGAGAGTAAGGTAGGGCAGGTCTGTTGTTGACCACTCCAGTTCCGCTAGAATAAGTGCAGGTCGTGTTCTCTGACAGGATTTCCCCTGTGCCTCAAATGACTGGCTCCAGCTCCATAAGTATATAGACCCTGTCTTAGAACTCTTAGAAACTGGAGGAGAGAGAGAAAACAAACAGCGTATTAGGAATGAATGTCCTAAAATATTCAGACACATTTTAAATACTGCCTTTCTGACAGTAACATGCTCACCATTAGTGGTGATAGCTGAGGGACCTTTCTAGCCACACTTGCCTTAAGCAGATTGATAGTGTGAGGCTAAAGGAAGAATTAAACTTGATTTCCCACCCAGAGTAGTTTAAAGCAGCACCCAAGGACTCTGGAGCTAGTGGGGCCTGGGATGCTGCTGGCTACTAAAAAGGATTGTCTACACTGAGAAGTTAGTGCACAGCAAGGTAGGGTGTGAATTTACTGCTCTAACTCCCTGTATGGACAATCTTACTGTGCACTAAAAGTGCCCCAGGCCGCGTAGCTTTAAAATGCACAGTTACTTAGTGTGAGCGTCCACACAGGGAGTTTAGTGTGTGGTAAGTTCACACCCCAGCTTACTGTGCGGACAGGTCCATAGAGCCAAACCCTGCCACATTTCAGGGTGGGAGTTAGGGTCCCTGAACCAAGAAAGCATTTTCTCCAGTTCCATTCAACACGCAAAGCAAGTACAAGCCATCTGCCTGGAATGACTAGAGGGGGAAAAGCTCCTCCTTATATTAGGAATATAACATTTCACAGTATGTAGTTCCAGCCCAAACATCATAAAACCTGCTAAAATGTTCACAGCCACAGCTGTGGTACACAATTAAAGTTGTTTCAGTCTTCCTGAGACCAGGTGAGCATGACTTACTTCCTACACCCCACGTAACTGTTTATGGCAATCTGCCTCCAACTAAGAGGCAACTATCCGAGTTCATACCTACCCACAACATCCTTGTTCAAAAAGGCCAATCCATCCACTCTGTGGGAAGCTGTCTCTTCTCCCTCATCATTAGGAAACTGGAACGCCACTTCAAAAGGCCTGATGAAAAATTGGAAGTTAAACAGTGGTCAGCTACCGAATGAACAATCATCATCTCCAAGTGACCTGTTAAACTAGTCAGTGATGGAAATATAGTCTGTCACCAAGCCCTTCTCAGTGCCTAGGCAGGATCATTCCCTAATGCTAGCTAGTTTTAGATGTGCCAAGAAACAGGCTTCCTGTTATGCTGTGATAATCAGGTGCTGACACTCCAGGGAGAACAGAAGGTTTTAAACGCCCAACAATGAGCAGCTGAAGCGACTGATTGCATACTGTATTATTGTACTATCAAAGTGTCTTGAGTGAGGTCTTTTATGAAAGCCCGTAATGTGCAGAACTTGATGGTTTTTACGAGAGACGTATACATACCTGCACTACAATGTCAGCTACATCTCCCAGCAGGGAGGGGCACCTCCCAAGCCAGGTATTTTCAAGAAACTGGCTCCAAGTAATGACCCACTGTCCAGTCAGGAAGAGACAACGGGTGAAGCATTCGAGTTAATGGAAAGCCATCCAGCCAACCCAGCTGTCAAGTTTACATGCTGAGTAAACATGAGTCATCCTGGACTAAGAGGGGGGGAAAAAGGGGAGGGGAGTCTTTTAAAAGTAAACTTGTGTCTGAGGGTATTTTTTAAATCTGGAAACTGAGGGACAGCCTTGAGGCAGGAAGCTGTCTGTGAAACCTGGATCCCCCTAGAGCTACGGGGTACTGGGGGAACCTGTTCAAAGGCAAAACATAAATTGTTTTAGGAAAGGGACATTATTTAATGTGGAAGTGGAAAGCCTGAGGTTAAGTCTTTGTTATTTGTCTCTGTTTGCTTTCCCTTAACTATTTCATCTCTGAATCTGTGGTTTTTCTAGTAAATGAACTTTTTGTCTATTTTTATCCCAAACAGGTCTCTGTTGTGCTAGGAATGTGGGTGCCAAAGTGAATTGATAACGGGGCTGGTTTCATGCCTTTGGAGTGACAAACCAGAGGGGAGCACTTCGAGTGTCTGCTAGTTAGGGAGGGCAGATCTGGGAAGACTCAGGGCTGTTGGTGTCACCCTCTGAAGAGTAACTAGCCTGGTGAGAGCCAGGTGAAACCTTGTGCTTTGGGGCTTCAGGGATCTGAGCATCATACATGCTAAATAACTGCTCTCTATACCCCTTGCTGGGGTCCACCATCTTGTAAGAGCTGGGGAATTATATCCACAGATTAATAGGTTTTCCTCATCTCAGCCTTCTATAATCAAAATCCCAAAGCCCTCAGAACACTTATGGTTGTGGAAAGTGAATTTGTGTCCCAGGCCCATGGTTCTTACCTGCTCTTCTGTGGCTTGTCCAGTCTAATATCCCAAGCAAAGCAACCTTCTTCACAACCAGCCAGGAGGAACTGATCTGGGCAGGATGGGACCAGGGCAATCCGTAATGGAATAGAGGCAACTTCCAGCACCATTAGTTGGCTGGCAAATAAAACAGACATTTAGTCCAACTTCCTGTAACAGTTGCTTCTCGGGAGAATTTAACTGAGTGCAGCTTGTTTCTGAACACTTACCTTGCTTTGAAGTTGTAGTCACAGTCCGGAACCCCAATATCCCAGAGGCCAATTCTTTTGTCATAGGATGCAGCTGTGGGGAACAAAAAATGGTACCAGGTAGTTACAGACCATTACTTGCCATCTTTTCTTTTTGCTCCACTTAAAAATTCCCCCTGGATCACATGCCATGACATTGCACGGCTGTGTCATGTGTGAGGCCATTAACACAGTATCAGCCATATGGGCTTTGGTCCAGCTAACAAAGCAGTCAAGCCATTAAAAACATATGGTTTGGAATATTTTTTTAAATTTGGGAAAGGAAAACCCTCTCGTGTGTGAATTTACTGCTGGTGAAGAGTGCTAGCTCTGGGGCCCTTCATCCACAGCGCAAGCTTCCCCCATACCAAATCTGTCTTCTCAAGGGAGCACGTCGAAGGGTGAAAGGGAAGTTTGTTTTCCAGGCCTCTGAGAAGGCCAATAAGAGCATCAATTAGTGCCAGTTCCAGGCAGTGTTGTTTTGGTTACTTGTCCCAATGGATTGTGACCCACCAGTTCATTCCACATAGGTTATTAATCGTTATAGAACCTCCCACTGTGGACGCTAGGCACCAAGTACAAAAGATTTTAAAATCTTCTTTGGCACTGAGAGCTACGTGGTACATTTCCAATAGATTATTCAGAAAATAACTCAGACCCCAGCCAAATGACTGCCCTCAAACTGCCACTACCTGGCCACCAGACAGTCCTTTAGGGAACTACTGTTAACCCCTGCAAAAAACCCCCCACAACTCTACAAACTAAAATGGCCCTTCCTCCATTCCATGTCCCTATGGTCCAACTCAGAACAATTCTCCAGGTGAAAGTCCCCCTCAGGTACCCTATCTGATTATCATTCTCAGCTATCTACTGAGCTGGCTAGGCTCTTGTTTTTAAATTCTTGAGCGTACTTTTGAGACATGTCCATTAGTTTTGGATGCTTCCAGAAGTTGGGCACCCAGAACTGGAGGATTCCAATGTTAGCGGATGCTTCTGAAAGTTTAGGCCTTCATGATTCACGTGGCACTGACAGAAGGTATGGAATGCGAAAAAAAGAAGGGTTGATTTAGGTGGTGATTGATCCTGCTTTGAGTAGGGGGTGGGACTAGATGACCTCCCGAGGTCCCTTCCAACCCTGATATTCTAGGATTCATTACTGGACAAACAATACAACGGTAACTTGTAACCCAATGGTTATTACTGGCTGCTCACTGAGCACCACTCTCTCTACCCAGGCAAAACTCTCCTCGATGTCAGGATCTGACCCTGAATAAAGTCATTTGTAAGAGTGAGTAAAATCAGAGGTCACTAAATTTATTTAACAAGTAAAGGCACAAACGTCATTGATCTGAAGAAATCAAGCAGCCCAGGGTAAGCGCACTCATTTGACATGGGGACTGAGTCACAACTTCTGACCCACAAGATGCACAAGACCCCCTGGTCTGACTCTCCTTACTCCTTGGCATGGAAATGGTTGGGGTTTTATGTGGTCTCTGTGTGATGGCCGGCCTCACGGGCAAGACACTGTGGACCTCTAGAGCCAAAAGCCAGAGCTGCTACCACTGGAGCGAAAGTCTCAAGGCTCTATAGCTGAAGGCTGTAACAACTCATGTCAAGGTTCCTTCCCCACGCTGAACTCTAGAGTACAGATGTGGAGACCTGCATGAAAGACCCCCTAAGCTTATTCTTACCAGCTTAAAAAATTCCCCAAGGTACAAACTTTGCCTTGTCCTTGAACCCTATGCTGCCACCACCAAGCGTGTTAAACAAAGAACAGGCAAAGAGCCCACTTGGAGACGTTTTCCCCCAAAATATCCCCCCAAACCCTACACCCCCTTTCCTGGGGAAGGCTTGATAAAAATCCTCACCAATTTGTACAGGTGAACACAGACCCAAACCCTTGGATCTTAAGAACAATGAAAAATCTATCAGCTTCTTTAATTCAGAAGAATTAAAGAAAAGGTAAAAGAATCACCTCTGTAAAATCAGGATGGTAAATACCTTACAGGGTAATCAGATTCAAAACATAGAGAATCCCTCTAGGCAAAACCTTAAGTTACAAAAAGACACAAAAACAGGAATATACATTCCATCCAGCACAGCTTATTTACCAGCCATTAAACAAAAGGAAATCTAACGTATTTCTAGCTAGATTACTTACTAACTAACAGAACTTCTGAGACTGCATTCCTGATCTGTTCCTGGCAAAAGCATCACATAGACAGACAGACCCTTTGCTGCCGCCGCCCCCCCCCCCCCGGCTCCCGATTTGAAAGTTTCTTGTCTCCTCATTGGTCATTTTGGTCAGGTGCCAGCGAGGTTATCTTAGCTTCTTAACCCTTTACAGGTGAAAGGGTTTTGCCTCTGGCCAGAAGGGATTTTATAGCACTGTATCCGGAAAGGTGGTTACCCTTCCCTTTATTTTTATGACAACTCATATCCTCTGTGGCTAGACACTGAGGGGAAACTTGTACCACACACCTCAGTGAGGTACATGTGCTCCATGTGCGTTTCAACACTCCTCCACATCAATTCCTACCTACCAATACCTGCTCCAACACTAATGACCACAAAATGCTTCTTTATTTGGAAGCAAGGCCTTTTCCCCGCTACTAGAGAAATCCAGAACTGGAGACTTACTAAAGAGGTGTGTCTCACAGGTTGGGCTGAAGCAGGCTGTAGCAATGGGCTTTTTGTGAGCCTTTATCTCTCCGTAGCAGAAATCAGCCGATACATGAATCAGCTTTACAATTCCTCTTCTTCCGGCTGCGGCCAGGATATTATGTTTTTTTTTCCGACCGTCATTAGTTACCATGGTCAGAGTTGTCCATGCAACGGTGAAGAACTCCTAGGACAGAGAGAGGTGAGAATTTGTGAAACTAACACAGGAAGATGGCTGTGAGGTCACAGATTAGATAGCAATCTAGGGAACTAGTGAGAAGCCGCATTTTGAAATGACATAAATATTCAATCAGGGGCCATACATGTCAGACCAAACTTAAAGGGAAGAAACAAACTGCAAAAGCAGGGCATGGATCCTTCTACGCTGTGAAGCAGATTCAGCAGCCTACAAGTGGGGTCGCTAAGTTTTAGCCCGTATTATTATTTTCCGGATCCTCAAATGACATTTTCCATCTGTACCCATCATTTTAAAACCTGTCACAACATAAGAACCCAAACCAAAGGTCCATCCAGTCCAGTATCCTGTCTGCCGACAGTGGCCAATGCCAGATGCCCCAGAGGGAGTGAACCTAACAAGTGATGATCTAGAGATCTCTCTCCTGTCCACCCTTCTAACAGGCTGTTTTAACACTGTACTCACGCTCCTACCTCCGCAGGCACTTTATACTTTTTCAGCACTATTCCAGTCTCGCAGTCGATAAGACAAACAGATTCCCCTCCACAGGTGGCCATAGTTCTGGAGGTGCTCACTACAGGGTCTGAAAGATGAAAAGAACTGGTAAGAAATGCCGGGGCTTGTAGTTAGATCTCTGCTGATTATACTAATCATAATCACCTCTCTGTTACCCCAGGCTCCCACTGTCTGTGCGGTACTGGAACTATCCTGTGGCCTGGCATCTCTAGGGAGGTTAACTTGACGCAAAATTCACACACACAAACTAGAAAAGAATCCTCATTTATTTTATAGTCAAAAATATAAGTAGGTAGCAGTGGAAACTACTGCTTGAAAGTGGAGGGGTCTAACACATGAGTCAGTTGGGCATCATACCCACCAGACCCTTCGCCAAAGGGTTTGTGGAGCCATTCTGTGAAGCTGGCCAACTGCAAAGTGCTCTCCAGGTGCCTTCGAACAAACTCACCTTTCCTCGTCCCAGAATCCAATGGCGGCTCGAAGGCACAGGACCAGAGCTGCGTTTTAAAATCCTCCCGGCTGTTGCCTTTACTGTGACACTGAAGAAAGTGCAATGGCTCCAAACTGATAACTTCCTGCAATAAACCTTGCAGTTAGAAAACATGAGCGGGTAACAGGAATAGAAGATCAGAAGCCTTCTACTCCAAGGGCTTGTTTAAACAGGACACCAGTGACTAGATCAAGAGGCAGATGGATCTTAGGTGTTTACATAGCCCTAGTAACTGCAGCTAGGAGTTGAAATACAGTGTAAAAAAAAGGGCAGAATACTTTCTATAAAAGGGATCGGCTCTTTCATACATAGGTCTCAGCTGCTTGTACTGGTGTGTTATACACCTAGTCAGCATCTCAACCTTTGGGAGGTCTGCACCAGATTCTGAAGAGGATCAGACTAGAGGCTGCATTCTATCCCCCTCCTGTGGGGTGTCCCATGGCCTCCGACCCAGTGCTAACCCTCTTTCTCACCGGGCTTCTCTACTTTCCAAATCCTTAACAGTGTCTGGACATGAAGTGTTCCAGGCAGCAAGGCATTCCCTTAGGTAGCCTGGCTATAGTCTATTAGGGTTTTGAAGACAAGGGCTCCGATGTTGCACTATATCCAAGTTGGGCGGAAAGGTGACTTTATGCCACAATTATGCTCCCCTGATCCTGGGACTGGCTGAGAAATGGGCCAGTTCCTGCTGTATGTTAGAGCAGTTTCAGGGCTGCTTTAATTTATTTCCAGATGTTTATGGCACCAAGGGGTTGCTCTGCTAGGCAGGGATCAGTGGGGCACAGACACAATCCAGCTTTGCCTCCTTCCTCCCAGGGAGGCTTCCTACACCAGGAAGAGGGGTTGCATCAGAACACCCCATAGTGAGAGAGTCCTCCCTTGTTCAGCTAAGCCAGCACAGCTCGCTGCAGCTGCTTGCTGGTGCTTCAGTGCAAGGGGAGACTGAAGTAACACGAAGCAGTGGGCAGTGTCCTCTGTACACGAACTATCCAAAAACCATTTAGCATTCTTCAAGCAAGGCTCTGCCTCACAAAATGCTTTTCGCTCATTTACGTGACAAATCCACCAACTCTACGGTAACTTTAGAAAAAGAAATTCCAACAAGCTGGTGACTTTACACAGCTGGCACTGGGATTTCTTCCCCCTTGCTGCCTTTCCTCCACATGCCTGGGAGCCGAGCACATACACTGATCCCAAATCTGGAATGAATCAGTGTCACAGATTCATAGAGTTTAAGGCCAGAAGGGACCAGCAGATCATCTAGTCTGACCGCGGCTATAACACAGACCATTACATTTTACCCCATATTGAGCCCAATAACTTGAGTTAAACCAAAGCAGTTCAACTGATTAAGTGGGATATACCCAAATGATCCCAGCACCATGCTGCAGAGGAAGGTGAAAAAACCAAGCTCCGTGCCCATCTGGCAGGGTAGATAAAAATCAATTATTAAAAAAAAAAAAAAAAAAAAAAAGATTTTTTAAAATTTAAATGCAATCCAGATTTTTTTTTTAATAAACTTCTTTAAAATTAAATTTGAAATTGACAATCTATGTTAAGGCCTCAACTTATTATACTCTATTAAAATAATTTAAATACAAAAATTAGTATTTGCTGCCAAATTTTAAAGAAATTCACACCCCTGAACAGGCTAAAATAGCTAAAAAGTACAAATGCAAAACACAGTTACAACAGATGATTTAAATCAAGGTTTCCTGCCTGCCAATTTAAATGAGGGTTAAAATTGCAACCCCCCTTGCAATCTGACCAGGGGGAAAATCCCTTCCCAGCCCCAAATCTGGTGATCAGTTTGACTCTGAGCATGTGAGCAAGGCACAGCAGCCAAGCATCTAGGAAAGAGGATTTTCTGTACCACTTCAGAGCGTTGGGCCACCCCATCCAGTGTCCCATCTCCAGCTGTGGCCAAACCCTCATGCTCCAGAGAAAGGCAATCCCCACCCCCGAATACATACGCTCAACTGTGCACCAGGGAAAGCTGCGTGAGTTGTTAAGATGCCTTGAAAGAGCAGAACCTTCCCATCCCCCTATCTGAATGTGGATCCTCTCTGTATGCCCAAGAGGCCAAAAACCAACCCCAAAGGAGAATGATCAATGTACCTTGTCTTCCAGGTTCTTGACAGGGGTTATGGTCAGAACCCTTTTGTCCTGATCCTGGCTTTTCTGCTCCTCTGTCAACTGGCTAGATCTTCTGTGGCTTTGTCCTTTCGGAGGCTGTTCTCCGTTCCTGTGAGTCTCTTCGGCCACCTTTGCCTGTTGGTTCGATGCTCTTGGTCTATCAGGAGTTGGGTCATCCTGTGAATGGCTGGACTTTCTGGGACTAAGCACTACTTCCTCATCAGTGTTATACTGGGACCGTGGCCTTTTGCTCGCAGATCCCGCTATTGAGTGATTCCCTCTTCTCTTGCTGTGGATTAATGTGACCTACAAGACACACTGGCAATGTACTGGGTTGTTTCCTTCCCCAGCCAGCATGCAGACAGCTTGTAATTCAGAGAAAGTCTTTACCCCAAAACTGATTCCCTTAAATGCCCATAGAGACTGGGCTCCTAAATCAGACAGATCCACATCTGAACAGCTCGTACAGGCCAGCGAGCTACAGATGACCAACGAACAGCATACAGAAAGGGCCTGATTCTCCTCTCACTTGCTTCACCTGTGTCACTCTGCTGACTCCAAGGGAGTCACTTTGGATTCACACGAAGATAAGGAACAGGAGAATTGTGCCTACAGAGCTTAACGCCAAGTCAAAGAAGCCAAGTGCAGTGATGGGGCAGCCCCAAAACAACCCCAACATCTTGGGCATGTGCCACCTTAGTTAAATTCATTAAAAATATCTTTTCCCCAAAGAACAGTGGAACAAGCAGGACATTATCCAGCCAATATTCTGGCTCTCCTATGAAAGTCAGAGTCTTGTGATCTAGGATACTAACCCTGCCTTCACATTCCTGGGAAAGCTTAAAGCTGGCACCAGATGAAGGTGAGACTACTTGCAAGGTTTTTTAAGAAGAGGCGCTGCCTGAGTTACAGAAAGGTAAGTTCTGTATGCAACTGATGAGTATTGTTGAATTTGTAAGAAAAGCAATTAAAAAAAAAGTTAACAAAACCAACCCCTGACCTCACAGTTTCAATTAGGATTTCAATTAGGATTTCTGAAAGCCAGCATGCAGCTGCTGCATATCATCCCAGAGGTGGCTGCATTTCAGTGGTGGGTGAAGCAATCCCTGTATTCACGGAGAGGCAGCCAGGAGACCTGGATTCTACTCCTGTTTCTGCCACTGACCTGCTGTGCCTCTATTCCCCCTTTGTTTAGGTTGTAAGCTCTTCGGAGCATGGACAGTCTCTCACTATATACATATACATCACCAATCCCGAAGGGGCCTTGATCTCAGGCTGGAGCCTTTAAGGCACTACCCGAATACAAATAATTAACAGCAGCAGCATTAATTTTGTAGAGGACTTTAAGATCCTTCTGGATGAAAGTAAAAACTTAGATGGAATGAGCTGTCTTTACTTTCCTGATGAAATTACAACTGGATCTGCTAAGATCTCCTGGCTGGGGAATCCTTAGTAGAGGATGCTACTTCCATGCAGGTTTGCTAGAGCAAGATCATAACGCTGACCTCAATGCAATGTGTAAAACCTAACTGGAAGCAGTTGTGCATGGACCCTACTCTTTAATGCAGTATTCTTTTTAAAAAACCAAGAAGGTCTGATCTAGAAGAATCCCCTGGAGAATCCTTACCTGCGCAATATCATCGTCTCCCACCTCTCTGGGGTTTTCTGTCGTCTCCTCATCATCATCCTCCATCCTTTCTTGTGTTTCAGGATGTGTGTTCTCTTCCTGTCCCTGCATGGATGCCAGCAACTCCTCCGCAATCATTTTCACCTAGCATTGCAAGGACATTTTTAAAAGGCATCACTTAATGGAGGACAAAGAACAAGAACATCCTGACTCAACTATGCAACTACACTTTGTAATAGGGGAGGATGTTTTTGCTTCCGTTAGATATTTTGTGTGCACTTACTAGCTGGTGGAAGGACCCTGGGCTGACAGGCGGGGAGACTCAAGCCCTCTCTTTAGTCACAGAATTTGTCCAGGATGGGAAGCAGCAGTGCAAGATGCACCATGCTGCCACCCTCCTGTGCCTCATTCCTGATCTGGAGGGACCACTGCTAGGAGGTTGGAATTTAGCCTCATTCAGTGTATGGCCTCTCTGCTGAGGCTGCTAGCAACCAGGGTCAAAGACAGCTCTTTTCAGAGTCAGAGAAAGGAGCAGGTGCTTGGCAATACAGTGAGCCCGGAAGAAATACTGGTGACACAATGAAAAGATAGCCAATTGAAACCAGTTATTAGCCAAAGACCAGTGCATCGAAGCAACAATTCAACTCATTGACCAAGTGGAGCCCCTGGATACCGTGAATGGCAAGTGACAGCTACTGGTGACCTGGGAGATCAAAGTGCGCAGGCAGAAATGAGAGATTAGGGTGAATTTTTCTGCATCAGCACAGCAGAGTTCTGCAACATATGGTGAAATACAAGCCTGTTTGATTGCAATCTTAACCTCCACATAGGACTTCTGCCTATACTGGTTTTGTTTTACTGGGTATGTCTGTGCCACGTGGACCAGGCACCCCACTCTGTTACTGATGCCAATGGGGTCATCTGAGGAAGGAATGCAAAAGCAATAAAGCTAGACAAAGAACAGACGGAAGTCCAGGGCACATGCAGATAAAATACTCAAACAAAAGGGTATATTTTCCTCCGGCGATAATGCACACAGCTGCCATTAGCTTTAATGGGAGCTGTGCAAAATGAGCAGTGACTACACAGTGGTTGCCATTAAAATCATTTGCCACTTGCAAGGACTACCGTATTTCTAATACTTAATTACTATGAGTACCTTAACTACTGGTGAGTAGAAAACAAAGACAGTAAAGACCATCACTCCATCCGGAATGGAATTTATTGCTGGCTCTTGTATAACAGCCACAGCTAATTAGCAAAGAAAACCAAAGACTGATACTGTCATTTGCAGGAGCCCCCCTTACCGGAAATCTTTAGAGCAGTTTAACCTTATGGGTCCACAAAACAAAGCTGCCGAATCCTGGCGTCAGGCAGCTCAGAAAGCTCAGACACTTACCCTCCATCGGGTAAATTCACCGAGGGAGCTGGGTCCATATATGACGTGGGTTTGTGCAGACTTCAGAAACTTTTTCCTGATGAACATCACATGCTCGGCTGAATACTTCTCAGGGAGTTGGCTTCGGAAGTGCCTCTCCCAGTGAGCTGTGACCTAGGCAGAGAGATCTGGTTCACTGAACTGGATGCTTCATGGAAATCAGAAGGCTCCCTACTCAAACTGCTCCAGAAATGGCCAACCCCCAGGCCCAGACACTGTTCTGTTTGAAATTTACGTGATCAGGTGCTTGTATAGGATCTCAGCTCATTTGGGAAGGGGAGGAGGATTTGTTAACACATTTTGCATTTGTGTTTTAACTTTAAAGAACACGTTATGTGTTAAAAAGAGGCACCCTGGAAGCATCTGCAAATAAATTATATATTTACATAGTATCTTTACTCATGGGACACTTGTATTTTTAGGTCTGATTGTGTAAGCAAATAGTTTTTAAGTGAGGTGACACAAGACCAATCACACTACTGAAAGGGGTACATTAGTCTGGAAAGACTGAGAACCACATACTTACGGGTTGTTGCAGTAAGCCCAGAAAAGCTGAAGGCCCCTGACACACATCTCAGCCAATCCCATTTACTACGGGCTGCAAGGGTATCTAATGTAGGGCTATCAAATCCCCCCTGCACAAAGGGGAATTCCAGGTGGGAAGATCTGTCAGGTTTGCAGCCCTTATACACCAGCAGAGCTGCTATACAGGTGTTGCTGAGAATCCCAGCATCAGGGGCCATGTCTTGTAGTGCTGAGCATGCTGGTTTAAACTGGGGGCAGTGGATGGTCACAAAGGCTGGGTGGAGTGAGTATAAGGAGATTAACGAAAACTAGGAGAGCAATCATGAATTGGTTTCAAAGAACAGGAGGCCAGTGAAGAGGACTCTGAAGTATTTACAAGGACTGTTCACACTCCAGATGAAACTGTGCTATCGTATTTAAACACGCCTGCTGCCAGCATAGTTTCAATGGCAAAGTGGACGACAGGGTCTGAGATGTTAACCTCATTATTGCATTGTATCTACTGTAGAGCCTCTGAGTTACGAACTGACCAGTCAACCACACATCTCATTTGTAACCGTAAGTATGCAATCAGGCAGCAGCAGAAACCCCCAAAAAAGCAAATACAGTACTGTGTTAAATGTAAAATACTAAAACAATAAAGGGAAAGTTAAAAAAAAAAAAGATTTGACAAAGTGCTTGTTTCATTTAAATTAAGATGGTTAAAAGCAGAATTGTCTTCTGCATAGTTAAGTTTCAAACCAATATTAAGTCAATGTTCAGTTGTAAACTTTTGAAAGAACTAAAACGTTTTGTTGAGAGTTACGAACAACCTACATTCCCGAGACACTTGTAACTCTGAGGTTCTACTGTAAGTCTAAGCTATTTCTTAGGCATGCATGTGGAAACATTACACATCTTACCTTGTTGGTCAGCTCTCGGCTGTTGACAACTCTCACATGATTAGCTAATTTGGTTACATCCTTGCCATTGAGTAGCCGAAGATTTTGTAAAAGAAACATGACCTTATAGTCATCATTGGTCTAGAAAACAGATAGAAGTTTGAGTTATGGTAACACGTGTATGATATTTCCTTGAACAAATAATCAGTTTGTTTTTAAATTACAAATCCACTAGGAGGGAATTGAATACATTTATTCCACAATGGGCACTTAAAATAATTTAGCACCATACAAGACTTCCCGATCAAATATACTCCATTTACAAGTACAAGTTTTTTCCTGATTGCCAGCCCTGAAAACTTAACCTGGGGTCTGAAAGTCAAGTCGGGCTCCTTCCTGTTCATACATCACCAGGACTAAAATCTCTGCCAGTAGCTACACCAGAGAGTTGTGCAGGTAGGATAGCTGGCAGAATTTGCTTCGGTATGTAGAACTCAGTTAACTCTTCTGTTGATGACCTCCCTTGCTCTCCCACAGCTGTAGCAAGTCTGCAGTGTTATGTGGAGTACAAAGTAGCAAAAGGGCTTTTGTGGTCTCCAAGATCCCTTTCACACCTAGCACTTCCAATGCGCTTTCCATCTTCAAAGCGTTGCATAGAGCAGTGATGTTAGAGCACCCTGAACAAGCAGCCCTAGGTGGGAAGTTTCCTGTAGCTGGCCTAATGACTAGAGCACTGGTCTGGGACACGGGAGACCTGGCTCTGCCACTGGCATGCTGGGTGACCCTGTGCCCTCTGTGTGCATCAGTTTCCTCGTCTGTACGATAGAGATAATGCTACTGGACCTCCTTTGTAAAGCACTTTGAGATCTACTGTTCAAGAGTGCTACATAAGGTACTATTATTATTTACGTTCCAGTCAATAAACTGCTGATCACATAAGGATGGAAAGCATATCACTCACTGTCAGGTAGACATTGTTTTCATAGTTTAGCTCCTCCAGCAGCGGGAACTGCTTCAGGACAGTCACATCTTCCAGTTGGTTGTTACTGCAGTTTAGGACACGCAGGTCTGGCAGGCTTAGATTAGCAGGTAGTTTGTCCAACAGATTATCAGAGAGATCAAGATTTTGCAGATGTCTCAGACGGGAAAACAACCGTGGGTCCAAGTCTCCGGTCTTTAACTGCAGCTTGGATAAGCTGAAACAAAAACAAAAACAAAACATGCTGTCTCCGGTTCCCCAAAGGTAAGGACAAAGGTGGACACATCTGACTTTTAATGGACATCAAGTTTCATTCTGCTGCACTTCTCACTCAGGCAAAACTTGCTGAGTAAATCTCGCTGACCCTACATTAACTTTTGAATGTAGTGCTGCATGTTTCAAGCACAAATCTGAAGGCGGCAAGGAGAGAGCTGTTAAGCGTAACCACAAGTGTGGTGGGTGAACAGTAACCATTGCTAACACCTACAGGCAAAACCTGCACCTGTTACTTACTGAGAAAACACAGCCATTTGTGACACTCCCAATTCACTGAAAATAAACAGTGGAATGACTGTATCTTAATTGCCAGGCCATGCAGTCAGTGGCTCACTACAAAACAAGTTATTGTTCCTATGAAAACTATTCCCTATCCTATTGTGATAACAATTATAACTAGCCATTTTGATGCATCTCTGTTGCTGAATTCTTTGAGTTCACATCTTTCAGAGTCCACACTTGACTTCCGGAACACTATTTCCAAAAGCGAAATAACATAGCCGAGTTATTTTCTCATCAGACTGTCTCTCTTGTATCCATTTACATCACATACATGACGGCCAGACGCACAGGATACACTATATAATTCATGCACCTCAAAGCACTTCCCTCTCTAACCACTAAATCATCTTGCCTGGGATCAGCCCCTGAGCAGTTTTCAAACAACTGACTAACTTTCAGAAAAATAAATGATGTTTTACTTTCAATAAATAAAATAAAATAAAGCAAACAAATAAATAAAAGCATGCTGTAAAAGGATTCCAATGTGGAATTCCACCTACAAGCCCTAGAACAAACAGAAGTTTAAGGAAGTTGTGACCAATTGGTCCTAAAAAAAAAACAACCAGGTGATTCATCCCATTGGAGAAATGGGAAATTCTCTTTCTAAGGGGACAGAGGACCTTTACCACCTGACATATCATGAGAATTGAGGTCAGACTGGTCTGGTTAAACCTTTACATTACAGTCCAGATTCTGATCCCCTTACTCACAGCAAGTAGCACCTTACTCCTTGAGTGGTTCCCATAAAAGACAATGGAGGAAAGTGCTATTTAATGTAAGGAGATCAGAAGTCAGCCCTCCTTAAACAGTTCTCCAGTAAAATACATGGCATATGCAGAATTGATATGGTGGCAAAGATCTTGCAACTGCAGATAATATGACTATCTTATTCTTGCCTTTTCAACCCTACAGTGCTGGTAAAGCCCTGGTACCTATCACACTATCAAGTATTCCATATTTTATAACATATGTGTGTTATTTCTAGGGCTGTCAATTAATCGCAGTTAGCTCACGTGATTAACTCAAACATATTAATTGTGATTAATTGCACAGTTAAACAATAGAATACCAATTGAAGTTTATTAAATATTTTGGATCTTTTTCTACATCGTAACTGAAATCAAAGCATATATTATTCTTGATTACAAATATTTCTACTGTGAAAGATAAAAGAAATAGTCTTTTTCAATTCACCTCATACAAGTACTGTAGTGCAATCTCTGTGACGTGAAAGTGCAACTTACAAATGTAGACCTTTTTTGTTACATAACTTCACTCAAAAACAAAACAATGTAAAACTTCAGAGCCTACAAGTCCACTCAGTCCTACTTCTTGTTCAGGCAATCGCTAAGACAAACAAATTTGTTTACATTTACAGGAGATAATGCTGCCCTCTTCTTATTTACAATGTCACCAGAAAGTGAGAACAGGAATTTGCACGGCACTTTTGTAGCCGGCATTGTAAACTATTTACGTGCCAGATATGCTAAACATTCGTATGCGCCTTCATGCTTCAGCAACCATTCCAGAAGACATGTTTCCATGCTGATGGCGCTTGTTAAAAGAATAATGCATTAATTAAGTTTGTGACTGAACTCCTTGGGGGAGAGTTTTATGTTCCCTGCTCTGATTTACACAGATTCTGCCGTATATTTCATGTTATAGCCGTCTCGGATGATGATCCAGCACATGTTGTTCATTTTAAGAACATTTTCACTGCAGATTTGACAAAAAGCAAAGAAGGTACCAACGTGAGATTTTGAAAAATAGCTACAGCGCTCGACCCAAGGTTTAAGAATCTGAAGCGCCTTCCAAACTCTGAGAGGGACGAGGTGTGGAGCAGGCTTTCAAAAGTCTTAAAAGAGCAACACTCCAATGAGCAAACTACAGAGCCTGAACCAACAAAAAAGAAAATCAACCTTCTGCTGGTGGCATCTGACTCAGATGATGAAAATGAACATGAGTTGGTCCGCACTGCTTTGGATTGTTATTGATCAGAACCTGTCATCAGCATGGACATACGTCCGCTGGAATGGTGGTTGAAACATGAAGGGTCTTATTAATCTTTAGTGCATCTGGCACGTAAATATCTTGCAACGCTGGCTACAACAGTGCCATGAGAACGCCTGTTCTCATTTTCAAGTGGCATTGTAAACAAGAAGCGGGCAGCATTATCTCCTGCAAATGTAAACAAACTTGTTTGTCTGAGTGATTGGCTGAACAAGAAATAAGACTGAGTGGACTTGCAGGCTCTAAAGTTTTACATTGTTTTATTTTTGAATGCAGTTATTTTCTGTACATAATTCTAAATTTGCAAGTTCAATTTTCATGATAAAGAGACAGCACTAAAGTACTAGTATTAGGTGAATTGAAAAATACTAATTTTTTTTGTTTTTTTACAGTGCAAATACTTGTAATAAACAATAAATATAAAGTGAGCACTGTACCCTTTGTATTCTGTTTTGTAATTGAAATCAATGTACTTGAAAATGTAGAAAACATCCAAAAATATTTAAATAAATGGTATGCTATTATTAACAGTGCGATTAATCATGATTAATTTTTTTTAATCGCTTGACAGCCCTAGTTATTTTATATTCCAATAACACTATTTAAAGAAGGAAAAAAAGGGGGGTATAGCCCAGGTTGGATTCAACTGGAATTTGACGAGAGTCTGGTTTGCACTTACTTCAAAGTCTCAATCTTTCGTAGCCTAGTAGATCTTGGAACCGCTCTTTCCAAAAGAAGCTCTGTAGTAACTTTTGACATTTTTAATTTCCGCCCCTTTCCTGGAAGCACAAAGCCGTCAGCCGTAGACTGTCTTCTTGGAACCTTCCTGGTGAAAGAAACTGGAATTAGGGGGAATCCTTTAAAACTGTGTCCCAGAAAGAAAAAAAAGTTATGGTGCAACTACCCCGTTGATAAAGCTGGCATCACTGGGTGATATTAGTAACCCAGCCTTGCAAAACAACCAATTTCCACTTCACCTGCCCTGACTGCAATAATGATAATAAAAACACTAGTGATATTTTACTCACCCATTAAAAGAAGTCACTCATTACAGGCGAGTTGTACCCTAGATTGTAAGCTGTTTGGTACAGGGACCACATTTTAGTTCTGTGTTTGTACAGCACCTAGCACAAAAGGGCCCAGTCCATGACTAGGACTCTTAGACGCTACCGCAATGCAAATAATAAACAATACCTGCCTACTGCAAGGTTTCTTCCTCTGACGCAAGTGTTACTGCCCACTGGATAAGATACTGGACTACAGAGACCACTAGCTGGATCCAGTCTGGCAATTCCTGAATTCCTAAAATTTTGCAAACCTGGACTAACTAGCTGATTCCCCTATTCAAAGGGAGAGAAGGTACAAATGATAATGTCCATCACCTTTGATGGGCACTGATTTCTCACAGGGGAAAGAAATGTTAATAGCAATATTGTAGGTTATTAGGAAACACATTGCTGTGGAAAGGGGAAATGACACATATTCTGTTATTTAAAAATACTATGCCCAGTGCCAGAACAGCCTTATGGAACTGCTGTTGGGGATACTGGGCCTTGGTTTAGCTTTCTTTCCAGCCCTAGTCCTAAAGGGAGTACAAAAAAAGCTATTAGGCCATGATCATGACCTGCCTTCTAGTCCCATTGTTGGAACAGAGATTAGGCTGCAAGTTGATAAGAGTATGTGGGCCCTGAGCAGTCACTTGTCTTGCTAAAGAAGACTTGCTACAGTCAGCTGTAAGGTCTGTTTGGGACCAACACCGTTGCATTGTTTCTTTTGTTTAAATAAAGGCTTTGCAGGCTCAACAGCAGGGAGACTCTCATTTCAAATAATAATTTTCCCATTTTATCCAAGAAATAAAAGCATTAAACCTGACAATTTCATCAGTGACCATTTATGGCCTGATCCAGCAAGCTGCAGAACCCCCTTCATCTCCCAGGGCAGTCAGTGGGAGTTGAGTTCCAGGATCAGACCCCTACATACTGATATATTCAAGCCTCCCATAAACCCCCACGTCAATTATAAGAGTCCAAACAGTTACGAGCTAAAATCAGTGCAGGCACAGCTGAGTTATGAGCCATGTCACCATGTTAGAAACTCTGCTGATGTCTCAGACACAGCTGTGTCACACCGTCATGGGCCACATTATGGGTGACACTAGGGCCATACCATGGACCATCTCACATATAGGGGCTCTGTCACCACTGAGTTACAGAGCAGATTATAGTGACTGTATTACAGACTTTGCCATCACATTACAGGCCACGTCACAGCCACGTTTCACACAGCCACGTTCTGGACTAGCACCCACGCAGGGACACATCCTTGGCCTATTCTGGCTCAAAGGTGCCAACACTATGTCATGACTCAAATCACCATGTTCTAGGCCAGTTCTGCATCAGAGCTGTGTCACTGTGTAATGGACTGCATCGCTGTGTTCCAAGTTGCTTCTGGATCAGAACAGCGATAAGGGCTGCATCACCAAATTCTCCTCCAGTCCTGGCTCAGCAACACATCACCGTTATGGATTAGGTCACTACACTATCACAGTATCGCCGTGTCCACATTGCCATATTCTGGCTCAAGGCTGTGTAGCCACATTATGGGCCATGTGGCTATGACCATGTCACGGTGTTCTGGTCCGGTTTTGGCTTAGGGTTGCTTTGCCACGTTACATGGCTGCCTGGCCATGACTGTTGCTGTGTTCTGGTCTGGTTCTGGCTCAGGGCTGTATTGCGTTAGTATGTTACAGGCCACGTCTGAGTGGCTGTGTTGCCATGTTATGGGTTGCATGGCTGTGACCATGTAACTGCGTTCTGGTCCAGTTCCAACAAGGTTTGTGTTGCCATGTTGTTGATCATGTTGCTGTGACCAAGTTGGGGTGTTCCGGTTCAGTTCTAGCACAGGGTTGCGTTGCCGTGCTATGGGTTGTATGGCTATGTTCCAATCCAGGTCTGGATCCGGATTGCGTTGCCATGTTAAGGTTCATGTGGTTGTGGCTGAGCCACCGTTTCAATCCAGTTCTGGCATAGGGTTGTGTTGCCATGTCACGCAGCTGTGACCGGGTCGCCGTGGTCTGGTCTGGCCCAGTTCCAGCGTGGGATTGTGCTGTTATGTTATGGGTCATGTGGCTGTGACCCGGTCACCCTGCCCAGGTCAGTTCCAACTCAGGATTACATTGCTGTGTTTTGTCATGTTGCTGTGTCCTGGTCCAGCTCCAGCGAGATGTGGCATTGCCATGTTCTGGGCCATAAGGCCGTGTCTGAATCGGCACGTTCTGGTCCAGTTACGGTGCCGTGTTCTGAGACGGACCGCTGAGTCCAGATCGCTGTGATCTGCTCCAGTTGCAGAGCGGGGCACGTCACCACATTATGTGTTAACACGGCTGTGACTGTGTTGTGTTCTGGTCCAGTCCGGTTCCCGGGTGGGTCTGGGGGTGCAGAGCCTCCATGGGCACGTCCCCATGTACCAGCTCAGTCCTGACTCAGAGCCCTGCCCGAAGCATGGAGGGCTGCCAAAAACCCCATGTTCTAGGCCGGCCCAGGCTCACAGCCCTACCTGCGATGTGGGGGGGACGGGAAGGGGGAGAGCCCCCGTGTCCCCGGGCGGCCCTGGCTCCGGGCCAGGCCTGCGATGTTGGGATGGGGTCAACCCCCCCAATGTCTCATGCCAACCCTGCCTGCGTGTTGGGGGTGGGGATGGGGGTCAACCCCCCACCCCCGTGTGCCAGGCCGGCCCTGGCTCCGGGCCAGGCCTGCGATGTTGGGGGGAGGGAGCCCCCGTGTCCCAGGCCGGCCCTGCCCGAGCTGGAGTTGGGCAGAGCCGGGCCCTGGCCCCAGGCGCCGAGCGGCGGCTAAGGCCGGAAATGGGGGAGGACTACAACTCCCAGCACCCCCCGCGGCCGAGCGTGGTCCGCTAGCTTGGCCGGCGGTCCCGGAGACTGCTGGGAAAGCGAGTTCCGCGTAGGGGCGGACGGAGCGGCTCTGGGCCTGCCGGAGCCGGGCCGGGGAGCCCTGGTGTCCCTCCCCCCGCCGCGGGTCCCCTCCCCCCGTCCGCCCGCCCCCCCGCCCCGCCACTCGCTCACCTGCCGCCGGGGCCGCGCGCGGGCCGCGCTGGGCCCTGCCGCCGCTGCGGAGCCGGGAGCGCAGAGCCCGGCGGGCGGCGATCCGGGGCCGGGCGGGGCCTGCCCCGCGGGATGGAGGCGCGGGGAGGCGGCGGCGGCGGGGGCGCGGGGCCCGCCTGCGGCTGCAAGGGGATCCGCTCCTGCCTGCTCTGCGAGGGGCCCGCGCTGGCCGCTCCGCCCCCGCAGGTAGCGGGGGGAGGGGCCGGGAGGGGGCAGCGGGGGGGACAGAGGGGCGCTGGTGGGGAGACAATGGAAGGGGCAAGTGCAGAATGGGGGGGTAGTGGGGGGGTAGTGGGGTGGGGGGTTTAGAGGCGGTGTAGTAGGGTGACCAGATGTCCCCATTTTATATATTTGGGGATTATCTTATATAGACTCCTAGTGCCCCCCCCCCCCCACACACACACACTTCACACTTGCTGTCTGGTCACCCCACCCTGTGGACAGGCCCAGAGATTGCCTTCTTGCAGCCTCGTGGAGCCCAAGGCCTCTTGCCCCCTTGCTGCCCCAGGGGAACAGAGAGCAGCAGAGGGGTCTGTTGTCTGCCTCCCCCTACCTGGAAGGGTTTTGCATTCCCCCCCTTCCTTAGAGGGAGAGGCTAAGGGGTGCGTGGGGGAGTATCTGTTAAATCAGCAGCTTCCAGTCCCCTGCCCTCCTCTGCTCCTACCCGTAGAGGAAACCGCACAAGAACAGCCCCTGCCCTTGGCATTTCCAGGGCATAGGGTGATGGTATTGGAGATAGCTTCAGGCAACACCCAGGCCTGGGGAGCATGACATTGATCTCTACCTGATTAGGAGTGATGCTAAGGAGCTTCAGAGGGCATCTCCTCTAGCCAGAGCAGTCCATGTTGCTTCAACAGAGGGGGCACCATCAAGCCTGATCTGGATCACTTCCTGTTTAGGCCTGTGTCAAATGGATCGAAAAAGACTTGTTAGTCATACAATTGGAGCACCCCGGTTGACCAACCCACACCCAGGAGTCAGTTGCTTACATCTCACCTAGAGGCAGAAAAGACATACAAAATAGTTATTAGGGCAGCCCAGTGGCTAGTGCACTGGACAGTGGATCCATTTTTAAAGCATAGGATTCTGTTCCTTGAACCAGCAGCATTGGTAGAGGTGCCTCTGGTTTTGTAGGGAATCCAGCACTCTTTGCCCCAGTGAAATTGGTTGCAACCTGGAGCACTGAGGGATGGGAGAGAGGCAATAATCCCTCAAATATACGGTGTGTTTTAAGAATGCACAGCTTGTTATTTTTCCTCCAGTGATGTCTTGTACTATAGATGTCACTATTAAAGAAAGACAGCACTTATTAACCTGCATTGCAAAGATGCAACTATAAAATTTTTCATGAAGACAAACAGTATAACTGGTTAACTCTACCGCAGTCTTGTGCGTACATTACCGGTTGCAATGCTATAACAACAGACATCATGGCAGTGTCTTATTGTGCTGTGTCCTTTTTTATTTCCGCAGGAAAAGGGTAACTTCACTTACTGTCCAGCAGCAGGTTTAGCTGTAGGAAATGAATGCTCAGAGTTTGCTGGCTGGGCATTTCCATTTCCAGGAGTATTCTTGCTGGAGGAGTTTATAAATCAAGACGAGGAATCTGAGATGGTTCAGCTGATGGATCAAGATGACTGGAAACTATCGCAGTCTGGCCGAAGGAAGCAGGTCCGATTCCAGAAATATGCTTATTTCTAACTCCCTCTGGGGAAGGAGATTATTTCTTCAGTTAATAAAAATCATGCTTTAGGTTTAATGTTTTCATTAAATTGATTCTTTCTGAAATAACAAAAACATAATTGTATTTGAAATTAGCCAGGATGGGCAGGGGTGGTGTCCCTAGCCTCTGTTTGCCAGAAGCAGGGAATGGGCGACAGGGGATGGATCACTTAATGATTCCCTGTTCTGGTCATTTCCTCTGGGGCACCTAGCACTGGCCACTGTCGGAAGACAGGATACTGGGCTAGATGGACCTTTGGTCTGACCCAGTATGGCCGTTCTTATGTTCTCTCAAGAGTGCATTTGTGATTGTTATAATGAATCATACTTGATAGTGCACATTCAAATACAACCTCATACCACATCAGTGTCCATAAACAGGAAAACCGAATACAAGATTATATGACTTTCATGGGGTCATATTATCAGAATTTGACTTGCACCAGTAAGTTACTGGTAAAGATGGGAATAGAACCCAAGAGACCCAGGGCTTCTCAGTTTGTCCAGAGGGTAGTGCCTCCCTAGAAAAGCATGCCCAAGATTTTTATTTAACATCATCTGGTTTTCCTTTTCAACAGGACTATGGGCCCAAAGTGAACTTTAAGAAAAAGAAGCTGAAAGCTGGTGGTTTCATTGGCTTGCCCAGTTTTAGCCAGGAGATTGTGCAGCGAATGAAAGCTCATTCTATGCTAGAGGATTTCTTTCCTGTTGAGCAATGTAACCTGGACTATCTACCTGAAAGAGGTTCTGCCATTGACCCACACTTTGATGACTGGTGGCTTTGGGGGGAGCGACTGGTTAGTTTAAACGTGCTCTCAAAAACTGTGTTGTCCATGTCTTGTGATTCAGAAGAGAGTCTCCAGTTATTTGCCACTCACAGTCAGGGAAGTGGGGCATCAAATCACTCTGCCTCACCTCAAGCTTCTCAGAACCATAAATCAAACAACCTTTCTCCCACATCAGCATGTGAAAATTTGGACAGCTGGGATATTGACCACTCATCTCCCACAAGACTTATTCCATACAAAGAAGTTACTGTAGACATTCTCTTACCTAGGAGATCCCTGATTGTGCTGTATGGAGATGCACGCTATAAGTGGAAACACGCAATTTACCGCAAGCACATTGAGCATCGCCGGATCTGTGTGACCTTCAGGGAGCTGTCTGCAGAGTTCACTTTGGGAGGAAAGCAGGAAAAACTGGGTAAAGAGCTCCTGGAAATAGCCCTGACATTTCAAGGAAAACCAGTGTGAACATCAGAGGGAGAAAACTGGAATTATGAGTTGTTTGGATATTTGAAAATTAAAGTGTAAAAATTCTGAAATTTATCTCTGTCTTATTTGGAGATTGTTTAAGGGCCATTCTTGGACCAAATTATACAAAATATAAAAGCTAGATCTCATGGAAATGTTACAACATTGCAGCAGATTGAAGGTGCTTGGTTGTTTTTAAAATAAGCCTTCCCTGGCAGTATCACAATCCAAAACATTGTAGTGTTAGCTGCTGGATGAAAATCAGAAACTGGCTATTGTACTTTTGTCCTTACTGTAATTTACTGCAAAGACGTGAACAAACCACTTTAAAATAATCACTTGAAGCTAAGGTGTAAATCAGGAAGGAAACTTGGTTTGTAAGTGACTTTCAATTTGACAGTCTGTATAGTCTAAACATTATTGTAAGTTGATTTATGTTTATTTTGATGTTTCAAATTACTGCAAGCAGAAAAGCGTCTTGTTCTTTAAGCTTTTTTGATCATTTTAGTGCCTTGACTTTTCTTTAGGGCTCTATTTTAAGAATGCAGGTGCTCTGCCTAAACTAATAGTGAATGAAAAATAAATGTCCCTTCCTATGGGACAGAATGTTTCACACTATCATTCTAGGAACCAGTCACTAACCTTCTGATTCAAATTCAGTCCAAGCAATGGAGCAGATTCCAAACTACTGGTCAAGGCTCAGTTCTGAGATATTGCTTTTAGAGCTGCACTGTTCCTTAGGGACATAACTATCTTCTTGTTTGCATCAGCTAGTTCCTTTAAAAGGCCAGCTCTCCAGGGGAGGAGCATAAGTAAGGATCTACCCATAGATAATACTATATATATAAAATACAGAGAACTAATTACAGTAATTTTCCCTTTACTGAAAATATTAACTGTGACACTGAGAATTAATCATATATATAGTGTATGACCTACATCTTGTGGGATTTCAGAGTGTCAGAGCAACATTTGCAGTGGAAGGTTTTCAAAGACAACTCAGACATCTTCAGTATCTGAACTCTAAGTAGGCTGTGTTCTTTTCTGAGCATCTGTAACCTCTGAACCCTGCCATTCATTCACAGTAATAAAGTATGTTTTTAAGAATAAGCAGAGAGGCAGACTACAGCACGAGTCCTTTCCTGTAACTTCCAGCAGAAAGGCTCAGGTTTGTGTCACTCCAGGTAGGAGATTTGAGAAGTCAGCTGTGGCAGAAACTAGTTTCTTCATGTTGTAAATCTTAGGCTTCAGTCACTTATATTTAAAAAAAAAATCTACTCACTACAAACAATTGACACAAATAAAGGATTGAGTTATCGGATATTTTAATCACATTGAGTTTTACATACACAAACACAGGTCTGTTCATAGTTGCAGACAAAATGAACCAGTTTCAGTTTAGTCAAATATTTAAATGCAAATGCACAAATAGCAACATATTAATTCTTACATTGATTAGCAAGTGTTAAATGTACATAGTGTCACACCCATGACTCCCGCATAAGCTTCAAAACCATGAGCAGCATTCAGATTTTCTAACAGCAAAGCGTTCGCTTCACACAGTTAAAGCGTTCCCTCTCTCTGCAGGAAACAACATACTGTGATCACAGATTGTCAGAAGGGAAGATCTGTCACCGCAGGACAATCCTTTGCACCTGATACTACCGTAGAAATGCAACCTGCATGAGACTTGTTCACTACAGCCACATGTCATTTCTTTTAAAACAAACAAAAAAACCCACCATTCCTCCCATAGGCTACAACCTTTTTGGTCCAATCAGAAAGCAGGATTGCATGTGTAACTTGTGCTCTTAAGCTAAAGGCCCCCCCCACACACTTTTTTGAGTAAATGTACGAGTTCATACTAACCTCTCCTGTACAGCTAGCACCTACGTCCTACTGCTCAATTGTATAGCGTGCTCTATCACAAGATGAGTCTTGGGGTGCTCCTAACTCCATCTCAATTCAGTGCATATCCAATTGATTGGAAGGTAGGTAGTGGCAGCATCCTGGAGCTCTGTACAATGGTACAGTTAGTTAGGAAGCCTAGAGTACCACAGTTGTATATGTAACAATACTTTTGATCCATGGTCCTAAATTATCCCGTTGCTGTTAGCATTTAGCCTCTGCAGGAATATGCTCTAAGCTTACTAAGCGACAGTAGACAGAGTATTTAAATTAGTGTTTGGTCCTTATATTTCAGTCATTAAACATTCTTCCTTTAACTTATGCTCTGTGCTCTCACTCCACTGCTAAAATACTACATATGCCCGTTTTAATCTCAAGGTATGATACCAGATGGTTTCATGGAGAACATAACTCCATAAAAAGAAGATAAATTGTAGTGCATATTTTGGCTCACACTGTGCTGTGTGTTTATTGGCTGTGTTTTCAGCCCTGTACAGTCTAAATGAAGACAGTTCCTGCCCCGAGGAAAACAGACTAGAGAGACTCAGTATGAACTAATTTTTTAAAAATGTATGTTATACTCTGAACTATAAACTAAAGGGTTTTATGCTATGTATTGAGAGAGGCTGATGTTTAATTTGGTCACTGTTTGCTTCTTGCTGCATCTTAGCGCATACTTTTCCTAGGTAAACATTGACATGAGCACCTGTTTAAGGAGCTCCTGAATGCAATACTTGTAAACCTGCCATTTCATGCTGCTGTGGCATCAGGGACACACATGGTGGCTCTGTTTTCGTTTGTGAAAACCATACGCATGTTCTCTACTGAAAAGGCAGAATGGCAGCATTGTAAAGACATTAATAGTTGTTTTGGATGATCAGGTATTGTGGAGATCTGTGGTAAGTATAAAGAGGATTTTAATCTGTAACTAGTAGATGCTAAGAAGAGTTTTGGGCTTCTTTGCTAATGCAGTTAATGTAATACATTTAAACTATTAAAGTTCAATGCAACAGTACCTCCTATCAGAGCAATATATTTTCTTAACCTAGATTAGTGCTTGTAAACACATTCCAAGAACAGGGTCCTTCTCGAAAATCAAAATCATCAAGTTGACTTGCATCCTGTACATTTTATAAAGGGGGAGCCTAACATATTTGGCCAAATTAATTAAATTAGGTCAACATCCTAATGTACTATTATATATTTTTTTTTGTCCATACAGGACACTGGATGACTCAGTCTAGCCTTCAAAAATATAGTCTTAAACAGCATGACAGTGTAAAAACCACTATACTTTAGAAAATGTTTATCCAGTTTCACATAGGATGGGTTCTTATTATTCACATATCTAAATACAGTCTAGGACATATATTTTTTTTCCCCATAAAATACTCCATGCATAGATAAAGCAAGACTTCAACAGGAACTAGGTGGAACCCCCCCCCACCGACTTCAAAAGTTTTCTCCTGGCACTTAAATGATTCAACATTTTGTTCTCGATATCAGTTGTTAGAATCAAAGCAAAGGTGAGCTTTGAATTGTATGTACAGATATTAATGTAGATGTTTGATATATTCAGATGGTTATCAAATGATTTAGAGTATTAACTTTGAAGTGGACACAAAGGAGATTGATGGTGAGAAGTTAATTAAAAAATAAATGGGCTGGCCTGATTGTGCTGGCACTTGGGGATCCAAGTGGTTTCTTTGTTTCCCAGGCTGAAAGGAATGGGAGGGGAGGGGCTTATGGCAGTGGTACAAAGCTTGGAGGATGGGGAAGGTATGAAATGGGGAACGCTGAGGGCATGAGAATTTAAAAACCAGAAAGTAGGAGAGAGGGGGAGAGAAGAGAATGGATGTCCTGAAATACAAAACAAAAATAGTGGACAAACAGCTTAGGGTCCAGTCCTGCAATTTACATTGCATGGCAGACTACTGCGCTTTCATGGAGCCCTAGAGACGTCAATAGGGCTTCAAATGGACACAGCATCCATCTGTGTGTTGTAAATTGCAGGATCAGCTCCTAAGGATACGCTGCTGAAGTCACAAAGTCAAGCATATTAACTCTGTGGTGGTGTGCATTCTACCTTCCCACATATTAATACTGTATATTGTAAAATGCATGCCATACCTTAATTCATCCACGGTGTTTAAGGCATCTTAATCATAGGAACATAGGAATTAATAGACTGGATCAGACTTGAGGTCCATCTGTATCCTGTCTCTGTCAGAACCTTCACCAGATACCTCAGAGGAAGATGACAGAACCCCATAGTAGGCAGATGTGGTCTGCCCCCATGCAAGTCTCATCCAAATCCCCACTAGTCAGATTGGCTCCAACCTTACATCTGGAGTTTTTATCCCTTCCAAAACTCTGTTTGTATCTTGATTATGATTTTAAGTGAGCAGCCTTAGGCTCCAACCCTTCAAGTACTTACAGATGAGTTCAGTGGGCATACTCATGTGCTTAAAGATATTCAAATGTTTGCAAGATCCAAACCTTGACGCTGCATTACTGTGGTCTGGTGCCTTTCCTTTCCTTTTACGACAAATAATTTGTATTTGTCTTTTATTATTATTATTGTGATGCAGTCTAAATGGGAAGATGACCGTTTACAATATGGTCACCACTGTTGCAAAATTGTAATAAATCTCATACAAAGTATGCCTTGTAAGGGATCATTTAAAAAGTCAGGATTTGCTGAAACTCATTGTCCTGTTTGCACGTATCATCATTGTAAATGAAGTTATCAAATGTTGATATATATTTGTAACTCAAAGTTGTTGTGAGCTTGAGAATCATCCATAGGTTAACTCTTCAGGAATAACAAAGAAGCTGTAAACAAGGGTAAAGACACCTCAGACAGCATGTATCCAGAAAGGGGCAAGCAAAGATTTGAAATTCATATGAGGAACTGAGGGCAAAGCACTTATGCCATGGAGCCACTTGACCCCTTGAGACAGCCAGGATTTTTCCAGCAAAAAGGGTCAAGATATAAAAAGGGGAGAACAAAGGCTCCTGGCCACCTCTTTCCTACCCCATCTCTGGACGGTGAATTCTGACCAGAGAAGTTTTAAACAACAGGACTGAGGTCCCAAAGCTATTTGGGCAACCCAGAGAGACTTATAGGAAACTAGCAGATTTAACATCCCTGCTAACATTTTGGCCTACATTCTCTGATCCAACAGTACTATGTTTTACCTGTCTTAACCTTTTAATAACTCATTTCTTTTCTTAGTTAATAAATCCTTAGTTAGTTTACTAAGGATTGGCTGCAGAGTTGCTTTTCATGTAAGGTCCTGCACATCCATTGACCTGGGTAGAACCTAATGTGTGGTGTTTTTTGGTTTTAATAACCTTACATCACAGAAGTCCAGTTTGTCTGGGTGGTAATAAGGGGCTGGAATGCCTACAGGAATTGTTTGTGGCTGCATGGTAAAATTAGTATAATGATCCAGGAGTATATTTTATTACTGGTTCAGTAAAATCTAGTGGTAGAATATACCACCAGTTGGGGCATATCTGTCCTGAGTTTGGCATTTTTAGCTGTGACCCACTCCAGGCACAATGACAATTATTTGTTTATTTAAGTCTTGTGTTATGGATGCTATTTGTCCCTTCACATAACACAAGAACCAGGGGTCACCCGATGAAATTAATAGGCAGCAGGTTTAAAACAAACAAAAGGAAGTAGTTCTTCAAACAATGCACAGTCAAACTGTGGAACTCACTGCCAGGGGATGTGGTGAAGGCCAAAAGTATAACTGGTTTAAAAAAAGATACACATTCACTGAGGATAGATCCATCAATGGCTATTAGCCAAGATGGTCAGGGATGCAACCCCATGCTCCGGATGTCCCTAAGCCTCCAATTGCCAGAAGCTGGGAATGGATGACGGGATGCGATAATTGCCCTGTTCTATTCATTCCCTCTGAAGCATCTGGCACTGGCCTCTGTCATAAGACAGGATACTGAGCTAGGGCTGACCCTGTGTTGTCATTCTTATCTTAATTTTCTATGTAGTGTTAATTTAGCTTTGAAGACCATACCTATTTCAGTACGGGAGAGGAGAGAATTCTCACCTTTATGGCTGCCACTGTTTGGGCTGGAAACGCTTTTCTTACCGTTCACACTGCAATTGCACCAAAAGTCAGAGGCACTCTAAAATCATGGGCTTCTGGATTTTCTGCACCTGCACTTTTCACCTTTTCCTTGCAGCAAAATCCTCCACTGACACATTTACAGTCCCAGCGCCAGCTGATGTCCCTGTCTGGGCCCTCCGCTATCAGGGAGAATTTCAGTGATGTTGAAGTGGGAGGGAGTTTCAACAGGCGCTACTAAATTCTTAGCAGATGCTGCATGAGCATACTCAGATGTGATTTTCCCCTTAATTGGGGTTTCAATGTCTCATCTCTTTGCTCCTCAAAAGAGAGGCGCACACGCACACTCAGGGAGGGTTCGTGTCCCGGGCAAGTGTCAGATTCCAGCCATTTTTTCCTGTAGCTATGTTCAAAAATAGTTTGCTTAGAACCCCGACGTGTGACCACCACAGTGCATCGGGCCATTTTTTAAAATTAAACCCACAATTTTTCTTTTTACCCTGCTTTCAGTAAGACACCGCTAAGTGGATTTTGCGAATCTTTCCAAAAAGTCCCCATCAGAGAGAGCCAAAGCACATCTTATCGTATCTTAACCTGCTTAGCAATCCTAACTGCGTCAGGTACTTGCAAAGAAACAACTGAGGAGATGAAGACAAAGTCCACTGTCCCTTTAAGAGCTTTTCCCTATTATGATCCCCAAATCTTTGGTCTGGACTACTGTTCTGTCATACATAAGCCAGCTTTGGCCTTAGACTTATTATTTCTTATTATCTAGCGTAAACTTCATTTCCCTAGGAAAGATCCAGATTCTTGAAGTCTGCTCGCATTTCCCCCCCTCCTATCTGGAGACAGTAACTATTTAAATGTGCATATTCTTATATCCAACTCATAACTTAAGTGAAAGGTCTCAAGCTACAACACAGATGTATAACACCTTACAAGGAAGTTCTGTCCAGCAGGCAAAATAACAGTTGCTTCATGGTTTTGGCCAACTTTCTATCCAATACATTATTTACCTCTTGTCACAGTGTGAACTGGGCCTTTAAAAAGATCTGAAGCCCCAGCTCCCTCTTGCCCATGCCTAGTTTCCTCCCAAATCAGGTAACTGCAGACTGTAGCAAGGTGTGTTTGGAAGAAGGTGGTTTTAAGGGAGTATGCTGAACCACTCTGCAGCAAGTGATCAAACTCTCCTGTGTGGTCTCCAAAAGCAGCCAGGTATGAATGGAAAATGTCCTACAATGGCTCAGGTCTTTCCTCTCAGACTGAACCCAATGGATTGTCAGGAATAACTGCTTCCAGCCCCCTCACACCAGGGGTCCCACCAGGCTTAGCTCTTTTTCCCCTCTTTTTCGATGTGTGTGAAGCTTTTGGGAGAGCTAGTGAGATAGCGTGGGCTGAAGTGCCAGCAGTACATGGATGACACCGAGCTGTACATCTTCCTTCCATCAACTGAACACCACAGTCTCCAAGCTTTCTGACTGCCTTTCTGATTCTGGATAAGGTTGAAGGAATGCTAGCATGAGGAAGAAAGTAGAGGAGAATTCCTTGAAGCATTACAATCCCATCTATCAAATTGCCAGACATCTAGGCTGGACTATTACAATTCTCTGTATCTAGTAAGGAAGACCCATTCCCAGAGGAAACTCTGCATAGTCTAGGATGTGGTACCCAAGTCCTCAGCAACACAGGTCACAGTTATACGTTACCCAGATACAAATCTGAGGAACTGTCATTAGAGGTGATTCTGGAACAACCTGATGAACTAAGCAGTAATAAGTCACCAAGACCAGATGGTATTCACCCAAGAGTTCTGAAGGAACTCAAATGTGAAATTGCAGAAGTACTAACTGCGGTATGTAAACTATCACTTAAATCAGCTTCTGTACCAGATGACTCAGTGGTTTGAGCATTGGCCTGCTAAATCCAGGGTTGCGAGTTCAATCCTTGAGGGGGCCATTTAGGGATCTGGGGCAAAAATTGGGAATTGGTCCTGCTTTGAGCAGGGGGTTGGACTAGATGACCTCCTGAGGTCCCTTCCAACCTTGATATTCTATGATTCTATGACTGGAGGACAGCTAAGGTGACACCCATTTTTAAAAAAGGCTCCAGAGGTGATCCCAGCAATTACAGGCTGGTAAGTCTAACTTCAGTACCAGGCAAACCGGTTGAAACTATAGTAAACAGAATTATCAGACACATAGATAAACAAGATTTGTTGGGGGAAGAGTCAACATAGTTTTTGTAAAGGGAAATCATGCCTCATCAACTAGAATTCTTTGAGGGAGTCAACAAGCATGTGGACAAGGGTGATCCAGTAGATATAGCCTACTTAGATTTTCAAGAAGCCTTTGACAACGTCCCTCACCAAATGTTCTTAACCAAAGTAAGCTATCATGGGATAAAAGGAAAGGTCCTCATGGATCAGTAAATAGTTAAAAGATAGGAAACAATTATAATAAATAAATGGCCAATTTTCAGAATGTAGAGAGGTAAATAGTGGTGGCCCCCAGAGATCTGTACTGGGACCAGTCCTATTCAACATATTTATAAATGATCTGGAAAAAGGGGTAAACAGTGAAGTAGCAAAATGTGCAGATAGTACAAAACTACTCAAGATAGTTAAGTCCAAAGCAGACTGCGAAGAGTTACAAAGGGATCTCACAAAACTAGGTGATGGGGCAACAAAATGGCAGATGAAATTCAATGTTGACTAATGCAAAGTAATGCACATTGGAAAACAATCTCAACTATACATAGAAAATGATGGGGTCTAAATTAGCTGTTACCACTCCAGAAAGATCTTGGAGTCATTGTGGATAGTTCTCATTTTGGATAGTTCTCTCTCATTCGATTCATTCATGGAGGATAGATCCATCAATGGCTATTAGCCAGGACAGGCAGGATGGTATCCCTAGCTTCTGTTTGCCAGAAGCTGGGAATGGACAACAGGGGATGGATCACTTGATCACCTGCTCTGTTCATTCCCTCTGAAGCACCTGGCATTGGCTATGGTCAGAAGACAAGATACTGGGCTAGATGGACCTTTGGTCTGACCCAGTATGGCCGTTCTTATCCCAACACACTGCTTTCTGCACTGGCTTCCCAATGAAGATAGTCCAGTTCAAAGTCACAGTCCTGATTTTCAAAGCCCTACACAGAACTGGTCCCAAACCCCTGAGTCCACATATCTCCCTCTGTGACAAGGGCCTCCCAGCCACCATATTTTCATGGGAACAATGATACTGTTGATCAATAGGTGTAGGTTTGTAACTATGGGAGACAGGGTCTGGACTAAGAATATGGAACTCATTTCCAGAAGAAAATCAGAACAGCCACTAACCTCAGTGTATTCAGAGCCAAGTGTGAAGCCCATCTCTTCCCTCAGGCTTTCCCACAATAGTGCCCTTGTTCTCAAATTCATTCTTTTCAGAAATACTCTAAGCTTGGTACGTGGTGGCAGTGAAAGAGAGGAGAGAGAGAGATCACTCATCTTTTTAAGTAATAAGAGGTGCCCTGACACTATGAAGAGGAGTGGTCTTATAAGTACTAGGTAGGTAGCTTCCTTCCCTCAGCAGAGGAGACAGACCTGAGAAGAGCAGCAGCTGGTTGGGAAGGCTCAACAGGGATGGCTTGGGCTGGGGCCTGCATGGTTCCCTGCTAAAAGGGAGCCAAGGAAGGAACTGCCTAAGAAGACTCAGAAGATGACCTGGGGAAGAACAGTCATCGGGGGGCTGCAGGGAGACCACTGGTGGCTCCCTGCGGCAGAGAATCAGAAGCAGAGCCCATGAAGGGCTCAGCAGAAGACTGCAGGGAGAAAGCCTGAACAGAGATAGATCTAAGCAGAACGTGGCCCTGGGAATCATGAAGCAAGCAGTTGGGAGCTGAAGACAAATGGTTGCTCTACAGTATAGGGGGGTCCCAGGTGGTGAAAACTGGAATAGAGGGACAATAGCAACGAGAGGCAGTGGGGGAAAATGCAGTAAACAGAAGACAACAACTGGTAAATTTAGACAACTGAGAACGTAATGGAAGGAGAGGCACTTACAAGCTTCACTACTGATAATCCTGTTTGTGTGAAGACAAGCAGCAGCTGCTGGATTTTGGCATAGGGGCTCAGACACGCACAGCTGGCCAAAATAGTGCTCAACTCCAGGAAGCCTTAGCAAAAGTCTAATTAAAACAAGCTCATGCTGCTTCAGACATTGCTTGGGAAATGGCCGAGTTTCACCATGCTGCCAAACACCCTTTTTTAGATCAGCTACAATTTCTGTAGCGGTGGCTGACACCATATGCAACCTTTAAGGAACAGATGCCAGTGAGTCGATATGCAAGAGTGGTGGCGAGGAAGACACATTAGAGGAAGACGAAGAGACACAGGAGAAAGAGAAAAGGAACCACTACGCTTTGGGCAGGAGCTGGAAAGAAGCCATAGCAAGAAGCTGATGAGAGGGTATAGGAATGCCTGGCTGTCATGGACCCCTGCAGCCAAGCAGTAAAAGGACTATAGATGCAAGGGAAAGGATTAATGCCCGCCCACACACACACACACACAGGGCAGGGCTGTGGCCTAAAGAGGGCAAAAGGCACAATCTTGCTTGGTGGTGTTTTGACTTTATTTGCCATGGCAGAGGATTATTTGATATGGCTGGAGGGCCAAATCATCCTACTGGCCTGCAGGAGACAGCCTCTAGTGAAGGGGTTCTCAACCTTTCTTCATTCTGAGGCCTCCCACCTCCAACATGTTATAAAAACTCCATGGCCCACTTATGCCACAACTGGTTTTCTGCATATAAAAGGCCGGACCAGAATTAGGAGGTAGCAAGCAGGGCAACTGCCTAGGGCCCTGCACCACAGTGGGCCTTATTAAGCTAAGTTGCTCAGGCTTCAGCTTCAGCCCCGGGTGGCAGGGCTCAGGGCATTGGGGCTTTTGCTTTCTGCCCTGGACTCCAGCAAGTCTAATTGGTGGCCCTCCTTAAACCTGATCGCGGCCCTCAGGTTTGGCGGCCCTCCTCAAACCTGATCGTGGCCCCCCAGGGGGCACCGGACCCCTGGTTGAGAACCACTGCTCTAGTGGACAAACTTAGACACAACCTGAGGCCTGGTATACACCAAAAACTTAAGTCAACCTAGCTACTTCACTTAGGGTTGTGAAAAATTTCATGTCACTATATTTGAAACTCTGATTTTCATTACTGTGATCTTGATCTGGTTGACATGTCAATACTAATTTTTACTGTGGTGAGATGGGACAGAATTCAACCCTAATATCCTAGCCAACCTCCAAATCAGGGAATTATACTCTTCTTCCTTAAACTATCCCAGCAATTTCAACTGCAATCAGTATTAAAGTTCCATCCTAAAACTTGCATAGGGTATCTGTGCAATGTCAAATAGTGGCTACATTTCTATAACGGAAGAAGAGATTACTGTGTGACATTCAAAACCCGTTGGGGTCCTTAGGATAGAGGTGCTACATATAAGGAAGCACAGTAGCATTTGGTATGGAGGGTCACTGAAATTACATTCAGGAGCTTTAGCAGGAATTTTAAAACTAATCCCTTCCAGAAACAAGGTCCTTATATTGTGTATTTGGAAAGCAGTAGGTAGTCCTGTGTAAACATGGCCCGTGTTGATGAGGGTGAGAATAACTGATGAAAAAACAGACGAGTGCTAACCCGCTTGCCCAGGAATGACTGAATTAAAATGAAGAAAAAGGATTAGATTTGGCTTCCCAGGAACTTGTCAGAGAGAGAAAGAGAGAGAGAGAGATTTAAAGATACATTCTCATCTTGCTGCACTCATTTCACACACACTCCATGCTGGGAATCTGATACTTAGTACACGGACATATTTCCTAAATACCACTGGTTAAAGGGAAGGGATTAAATAGAACATCACAAACTTCTTCAATTATTTTAGAACTATTCAAGAACTGGCAGAAATTGTAAAACTATTATCGAATGCAAGGGAATAGGGCCTGAAATGAGCACTGGCAGCATCCTGCAGATTACTGAGTGTGATGAGACAGGACAGGACAATTTTGCTTAAATATTTTTACATATTTCTGTAGCTGAAATAAGTGTTACTTTTCCTTTAAAAATTAAAATCAAGCTACTGATTGCAGAAGAATATTTTGCCTCCCCATGAAGTAGTTATAAATAAAGTCACAACTAATTACACTTTCACCCAGAAAGATACTACAGTGCTTTACAAGTTTCACTCACGAAGCTACATAAGCACAAACAAGAATCACCTCCTCCACTGCTGAAATACAGCCAATAAGTGAAATGTGATGGTACTTTACCTGCACGCAGCTTTCCCTTTGGAATGGCAAAGGCTGGACGCAGCTCACCCCAAACGCAAAAATGCAGCTCCATGTGCCACAAGGGGTATGTGGTGTTTGAGAAAATGCAAGAGGCTTTCTTCCCTAAGGGGTAAGAATGCTGAGAGCTCTCAGGCACAACTAGCACAAAGAACAAGGGAAAAGCACGGGATCTGGACGCCGAGCCCTATGTGGCAAACCAAGCCAGCAAAACACGAATTATTCTGGTATATACAGAGCAAATGAAGAAAACACAGTGACAGATTTCAGCGGTGTGCTCTCTTTCCTCACCCCTTTAAATCTGCTTTTCTAGTCCTTCGAAATTCTATGCCAGGCCTTTTTAAATTCCCAGTTAGTTTCCTGCTTTAACAATGTCTTTGTTGTTAAAATGAAAATACCTGTAAGCCTTCCCTGGACACACAAACTTTCATGATCAGTAACATTAGAAGATCTTGGTGTTCATTCATTGGAAAAGAATGGACACTACTGAAGCAGGCAAAACAGAGCTTCCCAGCCTCCTGCCAGTCTGAAATTCTCTCCCCCCTGTTCTAAAGCAGGGTTAGGTACTAGCAAGAGAGGATAGCAAAAGGAGGACATATGTACTAAGACTGCTGATTTCTAACATCTTGCATCATTCTAGGGACCTGTTTCTGTAACACCCATTCTATAATAAAGATGACAAACACCCCATGTTCGGCAGTGCTTTCAGAATGTCCTCAGATTTGTACTAGATAGCACTATTTATCACCTCAACCCTGGAAACAATCTTTGTCAGTTTGCTGCTGCACAACCAGCAGGGAGCCCTGGCACTTAAAAATAACCTAAACAAACAGGTCCTACAAAATAAGTGGCTTTTTTTTTTGAAGTATCAAGTAATTTCACTCTTGGCAAAAGAAGGTTGCATTGTTAAAATAGAACACTTTGGAAATCACCCTCCAGAACATAATGTTAAAGTAGATAAAGTTTTGGGCTTTAACTGTGTGGCAGTATCAACTTAAGTACACAATTGTGTAGGACCAGAAATAGGCCAGAGACCCCATTAGCTTGGGGAAGAACTAGAACCCATTGCCCTATAAATCAGGCAATTCGCATTTTAGATTGTTAGACCCCCATATAATCCATCATTGGTTTTGGTTGCTCCTGTTAGCAAAATGTTTATTTTGCTCTTAGCCTCAGCAAAATGATTTGCTTTGAAACAGATCCCTGTTCCTCTGTCACACTACCTGCAACCCTCTGTCATGTCCATCTAATTGCACTTTCAGTTTGTGAAGCTCTTCAATCTCCCGGTTATGTCGCTCCGTTTTGTGCCGCACCAGAGAACGGTAGAAGTGAATGGTGAAGACAACAAAAATCAGACCCACTGGAACCATGATGATGGTGGAGACCAGGGCTGCTTGCCAGCCCACATGGCCACTGGGCTTTTGCATGACAGCAGTCTCGTTTTTCATAATGGAGTCCACAGGCAGAAATTTTATCCAGCACAGAAGCACCACCTCAGCAAGGAAAAGGAGGATTCCCAAGACTGTGGAGAAACCCCAGGCCAGCTCTATGTAGACGTGCATGCGTTCATGTGGGGATTCACTGATGGAGTTCAGGTTGTGTATGTTACTCACCGCTTCCACGTTAGGTAGTATACAGGTGCTGATGAGAAGGGCGAAGAGATGAACTGCTACCAGCACTGTTGTGCAGGCACTGAACGCAATCAGCAGCATTTGGGGGTACTTATACTGCATCTCTAGTTGCACCTCAACCATGGCAACCTGGGGGGGGAAAAAAAAAAAAAAAGATGGTCAGTTTCTAGAATTCCCATATTTCACTTTTCAAGGCTCCAGTTCAGGAAAGCAACATTATTCAGAGTGCTTAAGCACATGCTTAAGTGCTTTCCTGAATTGGGGCTTAAATGGATTATTTCTTTTTTCTGAAGGTGCATGAACAGTCTGTATCTTTCCCCTTCTCAAGACTTGCACACAAAGTTACATCCAAGCCCACAGGAAATTATTTCAACATTGCAGGGTTTTTTTTTTTAAGCAAACTTTCCCTTAAACTGTGACCCATATGAACAGCATCAAACAAAATGGGGCTAGGACTGATGCTGTGAGGCAAGATGTTGTCACTTTGGATGGGCTATCACCAGCAGGAGAGTGAATTTGTGTGGGGGGGTGGAGGGTGAGAAAACCTGGATTTGTGCTGGAAATGGCCCACCTGATGATCACTTTAGATAAGCTATTACCAGCAGGACAGTGGGGTGGGAGGAGGTATTTTTTCATATTCTCTGTGTATAAATAAAGTCTGCTGCAGTTTCCACGGTATGCATCCGATGAAGTGAGCTGTAGCTCATGCTCAAATAAATTGGTTAGTCTCTAAGGTGCCACAAGTACTCCTTTTCTTTTTGCGAATACAGACTAACACGGCTGTTACTCTGAAACCTGTCAAGATGTTGATGGTAACTCTAAACATAAATGTGTTACTGTCAGGCACATGGCTGTGCAGCCTCTGCAAATAGTCAGGCCAACAGATCTACAGGAGGGGGAAAAAAACTGGACAATTTGGAAAAAAACCCACCTCAGAGCAATTTGACAACAAGCCAAGAAGTCTGAGTGCAGAAGCAGCTGTTAGCTCAGCCAGGAAAATGATTAAGGGGATTTCTGAAGATCCTCCTTCTTAAAGTGAATGTAGTGCTTCTGAGAAGTGCTAGACTGAGAGCACAGGGACTGGAAGCCCTCTGTTTGCAGTGGTCACAGGACAGGTGCAGTGACAATGCAGACCTTCCCTACCTGCCCTGACAACATGCCTCAAACTAGACCTAGAGGGACTATACCTACAGGAAAAAGAGGAGCTGTCTTCCTGCCTATTCTGTCTTTGGCTTCTCTGCTAAGACAGCCAATAAGAGCACCAACTAGTGATGATGGTTTGTGTGATGGGATGCCTGCCCAATAGGAATGGGACCCAGACCCAGCAGCTCGTTTCACACAGATCATTAAACAGCCATCAGCTGGTAACAATTTTCAGCCACTACTGATCTGTGTTGAATTGGAAGCAGAAACAGAATGCTGAAAAGAGCTGAATCCTAGTCCCATACTACAGTACCTTGGACTTATGTATATTTAAATATGTAAATAAAGTACGACTTTGGAATACATTTTACTTCCTTCAATAGCCAGATTGTTGCCTCTCTTACGACAGAGTACACAGCCTGTTTAATAAGTATTTGCCTTCCAAATTATTGCAGCAGAAATAAATTGGCTGCAAATGATACCAGGGTCGTTAACTGGGATGCCCGATTCTATCAGTTGGAGAAAAATTAGTAACAAATTTGCACAAATTAAAGGAATCCCTATATTCTGAAAGTTAGGTTTATGAAGAAAACATATTGCAAGTAATACCCAAGACCAGAGATCCCACTTCTTTGAATGTAATCGCACGTCATCCAAAATGAAAGTCATTTTGGTCTATTTTCTTTTCATTTTAAAAAAAATATACGCAAACCACCAGAGCTCCTTGGAGTCAGCTCTGAAGTTCTCAACAGCTGCACTGAAAAAAAATCCAACAGGAGCAAGAATCCTTCTGAGACAGATCCAATAGCATGAAGTGAAGTGGATAATTTTAGCAGACATCTAAACACCTTGCGAATATGCCATGAATAGAAGTCAGCTGGTTTATACTGTATATTTGCTAAGAACTTCCCATTGCTGTTTGTGTTCAGTGAGTTTAGAAGTAGTGTTTTGTTTTTAAAGTGACCACTGTGATTTCCGACCCTGCAAACGGATCTAAGTGGGTAGACCCTAAGCCCAAGAGCAGTTCCGTGGACTTCAGTGACACTCCACGGGGACATAGAAGGTCCATTTGCCTAGATCAAGTTGCAGAATGCATTAGAGTTAGGATAGTGACACTGTTTTTAATACAAAATGCTCTCTCTAAAGACATACAACAATTTTGCTAAATACTACTAAAAGGAAGCAGATTTTACCTATAGATTCTAATAGGGCCTAATAGTAAAATTCTTGTAAGGAAAACAGAAAGGAGCATAAACTCTGGCAAGTCACATGCAAAAGTACAGGCAAGCAAAATATATTTTAAAATAAAATAAGACAGGCCATGAAAGAATTTGAAGGGCAACTACCTAAAGACACAAAAACTAACAGCGAAAAAAAATGTTTAAGTACATCAGAAGGAGGAAGCCTGCCAAGCAGTCAGTAGGGCACTGGACGATGGAGGTACTAAAGGAGCACTGAAGGAAGACATGACTATTGCAGAGAAGTTAAATTAATTCTTTGCATCAGTCTTCACTACAGCAGATGTGTGGGAGATTCCCATACCTGAGCCAGTCCTTCAAAGTGACAAATCTGAGATGCTGTCCCAGACTGACCTGTCAGCAAAGGTGGTTTTGGAACAAATTGATAAATTAGTCACCAGGACCAGATGGTATTCACCCAAGTATTCACCTCAAAAATATGTATTAGAATTGGAAAAAATACAAAGAAGGGCAACAAAAATGATGAGGGGTATGGAACACCTTCCATACGCGGAGAAATTAAAAGATGGGGACTGTGAGTCTTAGAAAAGAGACAACTAGGAAGGGCTAGGATAGACATCTATAAAATCTTGAATGGTGTGGAGAAAGTCAATAGAGAAGCAAGGGTGCTGGGACAATTTCTATAGTGGAGGTGCTGAAAGCAGAAACCACATATTTGGTTGTTAATACTACTTCAAGATAAGGGGTGCTGCTGCACCCCCAGCATCAGCACCCCGTAGAAAAGTATAATTCACCCTATCACATAGCAAGAACTAGGTGTCACCCAATGAAATTAATAGGCAGCAGCTTTAAAACAAATAAAAAGAAGTACTTCTTCACACAATGCACAGTCCACTAGTGGAACTCACTGCCAGGGGACATTATACTTTTGGACTTCATAACTGGGTTCAAAAGAGAATGAGATAAGTTCATGGAGGATAAGTCAATCCATGGCTATCAGCCAAGAGGGCCAGGGATGCAACCCCAGGCTCTGGGTGTCCCTAAACGTCTGACAGATGCTGGGGACAACAGGGGCTGGATCACTCGATATATTCCCTGTCCATTCATTCCCTCTGAAGCACCTGATACTGGCCACTGTCAGAAGACAGGATACTGGGCTAGACCCAGTACAGCCGTTCTTATGTTCTAATAACCAACTTATTAACTATTGATTTTTACACTCAGAGCCATCCCTTGGGTAGGGCAAATCGGGGCAACTGCTCCGGGCCCCGCGCTTTGGGGGACCCCACGGGCCGGTGCGGTTGGCCGGCACAGTTGATCCCGGAAGACATAGGCATGGGAACTAGAGGTGAGGGCAGGGCTGCAGCACCCCCAGGCTCCCAGCTGCCGCCCCGCACGACCTGGGCCTCAGCTGCCACCCTATGCAACCAGGACTCTGAGGCCACCCTGCACGACTGGGGCTTTGCAAGTCCCCGGCCCCGGCAGGAGCCCTGAGCCACCCTGGCACTATGGCCAACAATAGCCCTGAGGTAGGCGCTGGCAACTGTCAGCAGAAGCAGGCAACTCAGCACCAGGCCGGATCCATCCCAGCCGCCAATGCAGAGTGGGGCCCCCAAGCCCGCAGGGCCTGATTTGTCCCAGGCCCCGCACCACCCTAGGGATGGCCCTGGCTACACTGCAGACTTCTACCAGCATATCTCTGTCAGTAAGGGAATACACCTCTTCACACATGACTGACAGAGCTATGCTATCAGAAGTTCTTAGCACAAACACAACTATACTGTGCTTTTTGCAGCATAGCTTGTTTCGCTTGTGGGAGTGTTTTTTCTATACAGGTACAAGTACAGTTTTGCCAGTATAATCTGTGTCCACATTAGACGTGCTTGGCTGGTAATAGTATACTGCTATTCCTATGCTGGCAAAGCGTGCCTACTGTAGACAGGGCCTAACATCAAGAAAGCTGCTATGCTGGAGGATCGAACAAAAATACATTGGATCAGGGATCTGCAACTTTTTCCAGTTAGAAGTTTCCATCTGCTACTTCAGAATACAAAAGAAGTTACAACCGGACATATAGTAGAACCTTGATTTTATGAACACCAATCTTATGAACCACCAACTATACGAAGCATTTTTCCTGACCCTGTAAGGGTGGGGAGGAAATTAAAAAAAAAAAAAGAACCCACACATAACAAAAGTGATGTCAATGAAGAACAAGTTGACATTCCTTCATATTCTGATGCCTTTAATGCATTGGAAAGGGCTTTGCAGTGGTTTGAAGGACCAGAAGAAAGGGATGCAGTACACCAAACTGCAGCTTATGTACAACTTATTTGTTGTACAACTTATCTATCGTAATTTTGAGATGTTCAGTTTATGAACTCCTCAATCCCCATTTAGTCTGTCAAATAGAGGTTCTACTGTACATTACTATATTTTGTGAATACACATACTATACCCAAAAAGAAAAAATATTGGCAGGGAGGGGGTGAACCACAAAAAGACAAAAGGAAATATAACCCCCATTCCTTCCCCCCACACCCAGAAAAATCCCCTGCAACCCAGAGAAAAAATTGTCAGTGTTTAAACTAAAAAATTACAAGCAAACCAAACATTTTCTATGGATCTTGTTTCTCTCTCTCTTCACTCCTGAAATCCCTTCATACCCCCCTCACTCACACAACACTCCTCTTTACATGGACATATGAAAAGAACAAGCCCCCACGAACCAAAAAAGCCCTAATACCAGGTCTGCATTTTCTTGAGCAGTGTTTATTCCTCCACCTCCTTACTACCACACATCTGCTGTGCATGCATACGGATAGGAGTTTTAATTCCGTCCACCAATGAGTGAGATCCAGAGGTTAGATAAGGGGGAGGTTCATCACTTCATCATCTTATGCAAGTGTTCTGTTTATGCCAAAGACTCTTGCTGGCTGCCAGTTACTAACAGGTCAGCCGATACTTTGGGGCATGGGTTTTGGGGCTCCCTGAGACTATTTCTAGGTAGCGGATATCACAGCACTGCAACAAGTGTCTTGAGAGAGCTGCTCTCTGTGTTAAAACTTTTCAACAGCAGCCAAACAAAAATGCACACACTCAGATTCCTTACCACCTAATAAGGAAATGATGGAATGTCCTGCTCTATGTACAGAAAACAACCCCTATTAACAGAGGAAGGTTTTACACAACTCAACATTTCACAATCCAGCAACTAGAAAAATATACCATAGCAAATCCAGAGAGCAAAGCAGACGTTCTGCTGGAAGCTTTGAGCTTGGCTCGGCTCAGATACAGTTTTCTCCATGCGAGAGCCTGAACAGAGTGATGATTTGAAGTGACCAATTCCAGATAGCTACGTCGGACCCAGTCCCGATAATCCATGCCCTTTGTGCCAGGTTCAGAGCCGCAAGCAGGAGTGGCAGGATCCGCCGGGACATTTAACTCGGAACTCATGATGAAAGCAATGCTAGAGAAATAAAATATTTTCACATCAGGATAGCAGTAACAGAAAGAACAAGTATGAACTATTGCACAGGAGAAGGCAATCCCAGAGACTGGTTTATTAGCCTGATTTGTATAAGACATATGGATAGGAATGCAGTAAAAAGCTGCATTAAAAAAAGTACCCTCGGGAGATAGATGTAAACTAGATTGCATGACATATAGAGCATCTCTACTCCCTGCTCATCTGTAACTGCTGTGAATGCCTATGGGAGTTACAAGGGGAAAGACTACATAAGTAAGACCATGAACTACTTTCAGCATGAGCTCAGGATGGGCTGGTGACAGATGAACTTTGTATCTCTAGGCTGCGGCCAGTTTGCATTTCAACTTTAAACCCTTGCTTAATTCTGCCCCTCCCTCTCCATCCTCGTTTGCTTGTTTGAAAAAATAAGGGCAACCATCTTAAATCTAAATCTTGCTTGTTCTTTCTACTTTGTTTCCAAAGTGACACAGTTTAATTCCATGCTGCATCATGGGTGTGTCTCAAAAGCTTCTTATTAAAGCACTACTGTAATATCGGCTACTGTACTCAGTGTGTCAATTTTAATTATTTTCTAAATTGAACCATTTTCAATTAAATCACCCTGAAAGAGATGGCAATTTCCTGCAGTATCTTTGAAAAACCTTACTGAATTAAATTTAAGTAGCTTTGGAGTTCATTGTATCAAAGGCAAATGTTATGTATTAATGTGGCTGGGACTGTATGTAGTATCCTTAGGGGGGAAGATGGGATTTGAACCTGAGAAGTTTTATGAACTTCAAAGGACTATTTTGAACAATGGGCCAGACAAAAATGGACTTTTGAACAAACTGGGGAATCTCTAGGGCAGGGGTTCTCAAACTGGAGGTCGGGACCCCTCAGGGGATCGCAAGGTTATTACATGGGGGGGGGGGTCGCGAGCTGTCAGCCTCCACCCCAAACCCCGCTTTGCCTCCAGCATTTATAATGGTGTTAAATATATTTTAAAAGTGTTTTTAATTTATTAGGGGGTCGCACTCAGAGGCTTGCTATGTGAAAGGGGTCACCAGTACAAAAGTTTGAGAACCACTGCTCTAGGGGGAGGCAAATGCAAATTCCCACTTCCAGTTTTGCAAAAGTCCAGCCTTTTGAAGCTACACCCTGAAGGAAGGACCATCGTCTCCTGATTACCTGTCCTGGAGTCACAAGGTCAAAGGCCCAAGCTGTATAAAGGAAAGACTAACCTATTCTGAGCTAAGGCTTGTATGGACTTGTAACCACAGAAAATCCCCTGTGCGGGTTTTGAAGGACTGACTCCTACCAAAGTCCTTGCTGGAGTTTGGGGAGGAGGTGGGGGTTGTAGGCTCTGGTGTATAAGCTTATTAGCATGTGTGTAGGTTCCTTTGTTGTTTTAATATGTTTTCACTGTAATGCCTACACCTTAAGAATAAATGTGCTTGCTTACAAATAGCTGCGTGGTAACATAACTGCTGACAGTTAAGTTGGTCATAAGCCTTCGAAGAGAAAGTAAAGTACAGATGTGGGCCTGTTTAGGAAGTCTGGTTTGCTGAGAATACCACAATGCAGGCAGGGAACCGTGCAGCCTGGGGAAAACCCCAGTCACATGGGAAAGGCAACAAAAATGATTAGGGGTCTGGAACACATGAGTTATGAGGAGAGGCTATGGATTTTTACCTCAAAGAGAAGAATGAGGGGGATTTATAGTCTTTCAACTACCTGAAAGGGGGTTCCAAAGAGGATGGCTCTAGACTGTTCTCAATGCTATCAGATGACAGAACGAGGAGTAATGGTCTCAAGCTGCAGTGGGGGAGGTTTAGATTGGATATTAGGAAAAACTTTTTCACTAAGAGGGTGGTGAAACACTGGAATGCGTACCTAGGAGGTGGTAGAATCTCCTTCCTTAGAGGTTTTTAAGGTCAGGCTTGACAAAGCCCTGGCTGGGATGATTTAACTGGGAATTGGTCCTGCTTCGAGCAGGGGGTTGGACTAGATGACCTTCTGGGGTCCCTTCCAACCCTTATATTCTATGATTCTATGAAAGGGAAGTGGGTCTCTACTCAAGAGAGGTAACAAGTGGGAGCTGGAAGCCTAAAAATGGGTCCCACTACTGGACCATAGAGGGAGAATACAGGTGCAGTTGCCCTGAACTGTAACAATCACATCACGGATCACAATTCATTTTACATGGGTTCAGCTTCGTCCCCTCAGTTGAGATTGCAAAAATACAAAAGGAGCTGAATGGCATATAATGTAATGCAATTGAACTGGCTGGCACCTTGAAAGGGACAGCTGTGCATTTCCTAACCCACTCACCCCATTCCATGCTTAACAGCCAACATTTGTGACCAATATTTGTGCTTCTTTACATCCATCAGCCTCGCTTAGGGAAGGAAAAGACGTGACTCTTAAGGGGAAAATCAATCAGGTTTTACTTCTGAACTATGTAGTTTCATAAATGTGCAAACATCATCAGATTCAACCAACTGTATGAAAACCAAGTTAAATCAACAAGACTATTTCAACTGACCACATACAACACTGGCCATGACCCAGATATCACCTCCATTAAAACTATGAGTTAACCTTATTGTTATTTAAAAGGCAACCTCTTGGGTTATGATCACAGTGTTACTCATGGACATATAGTAGAATTTAACTGAGCAGGGTTTGTGAACTCTGGCACAAGTTTGAAACTCATATCCTAATTAGGAGGCTTTAGATAAACAACAGAGACCTTGATCCTGCAATCAATCCTTGTACCAACAAGACTGCCACTGACCTCAATGAGAAGAGCACACATGAGCTCTGCAGAACTGGACCACATCAGCATTTTAATGCTATGAATATTTATACATATCTAGAAGGAACCGGTGCATTCACAAGAACACGCATGACGTGGTGCTAATTCATCTCAGTACCACACTTCAAGATCAAAAGCACCTATCCTTTAGTTTGGCACAAGGTACTTTTTATTCATACCCATGCAGTACAAATGGAGACTACAAACATAACTAATAAACCAGTATTTCCCCCAGGGTTTCAAGCAGTGATGGAGGTAAATGTCACTCAAGTGCCAACACTATGTAGAAACCGTCTTCGTTCCATATACTATTTTAAAAGGGATGTTACTTCTATATGCCATGGTGAACCAGCAATAGAGTAAGTTGCTGTGGCAAACAAGGGAAAGTTGCTCATCAGCAATTTCTACTATTTTGCAGATACATGACAGAGGATTCTCACTCTGGAGTCTTGTGCTCTGCAAATTCTTTCAGATTTTGGCCCTCTGACACAGTAATAGTTAGAGTGCACGACCCTCCTCCTGGTCAGCTTGTACCAGCAGCTACAGCCTTAGGCCTTGGGGTATTCAGACTCAGTCCCTGACCTGTGTGGGAAGCAAGACCTCCCAATTTATTCCCATTCAGAAATCAAATAAAATGTCTATAAAAACCGGAACAAAATGACACCACCTCAAAAACATTCCTGCAAACAAAGAAGGAAAAGGAGGCTCCGGCATGATATTTTCAAGAAGCAGATTCACAGGTGAATAATCTTCCCTTTTCAAAAAAATACCATTAGTACAGGATTGTGACTCTGAGTGCAAGTCGCTGGACAAATATCCTAAAATAAATGTGAACAACACTGCAACAAGCAAAATAAGAAATGGCCAATGCCAGATAAGCAACAAAAAAGTTGGTGGGAGCACCTCTGCTGACTGCAGTGGGAAATGACTGGATGGTTCTGAGGGCTGAGACAGGAGACCCAGAAGGAGATTCCTCTATGGATGGTGTCTTTAACAGAACAGTTTTACTGCACCGTAATCACTGGCCAGGCATCTGAGTAGAGAGGCCGAATTATTCAAGGAATCCTGGTCTCCCGCCTTGCAATATGACAGGGGCAGGACCACCAGCTGTTGCCTCTCATAGACTGGAAAAGAAATGGAAGTTAGGGCAGATGTGGAAGAGCACTATTATCAAGGCAGCGTAGTAGTGCTCTCCAAAGTCTATTCACCAGCACTATGTCACGCCGAGTTTTGGACCAAGTGACAAGACAGCCACAATTCCATAAGGAGACTCTTCCACAGTCTAATAGTCCAGGGGTTCTCAATCTTTTTCTTTCTGAGGCCCCTCCCAACAGGATATAAAAACTCCACAGCCCACCTGTGCCACAGCTGTGTTTTTCTGCATATAGAAGTCAGGGCTGGCATTAAGGAGTAGCAAACAGGGCAACTGCCTGGGGCTCCACACCACCGGAGGCCCCCATGAAGCTACATTGCTCAGGCTTCAGCTTCAACCCTGGATGATAGGGCCCCGGGCTTCAGACTCATGCAGCGGGGCTTCAGCTTTCTGCTCTGGACCCCAGCGAGTCTAATGCTGGCCCTGCTTGGCGGCCCCCCTGAAGCCTGCTCGCGGCCCCACAGGGGGCCCCGGACCCCTGGTTGAGAACCACCGTAATAGTCAAACTGGGCCAAGGGAGAGAGAGTAGGTGAGGTTATACCTTTTATTGGACCAATAAAAGATATTCCCTCACCTACCTTGTCTCTTTCATGTCCTAGAACCGACAGGTCCAGACAACACTGGGAACACAGGGGGCTACGTTCGTTCCTGGGGTAGCTTTTCTGACTTTAGTGGAGTTACAACAGAGATGCACTTGTCCCGGCTACATTTCAGGCCAGCACGCCGCGTGGAAGATGGAAAGCTTTTTGCCGGTGCCGGTTAATGCTGTTTTTGATCTCACTCTGTCTCATCACCGGCCCCCACAGCAGCAAATATGGCAGGGAAAGCCTCTGCCGTGCCTCCGATCTCAGCGGCCTACAACACAATTTTACACGCACGCCCAGGGGCTTTCGCAGCCAAGGCAGGAGGAGGAGGAGGAGGAGGAGGAGACCCCACCACCCCGGCCGGCGGGTGCGTGTCCCTCTCGCATCTCACCGCCGCCGCGCCACCAGCGGCCTCGGCACAGGGCTCCAGGGGGCCGCGCTCAGCCTCCCGACGCCGGCGTGGCTCCATCCCCGGGGCGGGGATTTCAGGACCCTGGCCTGGTTCCGCCCCCGGCCCCAAGACCGGCGTGGGCCCGGCCCCGCGCTGGGCCGGGGGGGGGGGGCGCCGCACCCCCCGGCTTGAAGCGGTTTCCACCACACGCCGGGTTGGCAGTTTGGGTCAGTGGCTCTCAGCAGCCCCCCCCCCCGCGGTACACACCGCTCCAGCCGGGGCCGGGGCTTGGCCTAGCCCCCCCATGGCACTGGGACCCGAAGGGGGGCTACAGCCACAGGCCCAGCCCCCGTGACAAGGCGGGGGGGGCCGAGACACCGGCGCCCTCCTCAGCCCGGGCCCCCCCCCGGGGCCGTGCCCGCGGCTCCCTGCCACTGGCGGCAGAGCAGGCGCGGCAGCCCGGGGGGGGGGCCCATAGCCCGCGCGCCCCCTCCCCCCGGGGGGGCCCGTCACTCACGCGCCGCGGCGGGGGCCGTGCCCGGGCGGGTCCGCTCAGCCCCGCCGACCGCGCCGGAGCCGCCGCCAACGAGCCCGAGCCGCCGCCGCCGCTGCCAAGGCAACGCCGGACCCCCGCCGCCACGTGACCCGGGGAGTCCCGCACCACGTGACCGGAGCCGCCCAGCTCCAGACGGGGTGGGGGCGCGATGGGCGGGGCCTGCGGCTCACCCCCCTCCCACGCATGAGGATGGCAGGGGGAGTCCGGGGCTCAGCCCCATAGAGGGGGCCGGGAGAGTCTAGGGTTTTCTCTCTGCTGGGGGGCCAGGGGGAGTCTGGGGCTCACCCCCATCGGGTGGGGCCACCCCCAAGAGGGGGCCAAGGGAATCTGGGGTTTTCTCTCGGGGGCCAGGGGGAGTCTGGGGCTCACCCCCATAGAGGGGGGTGGGGAGAGTCTGGGGCTCACCCCCATAGAGGGGGCCAAGGGAATCTGGGGTTTTCTCTCGGGGGCCAGGGGAGAGTCTGGGGCTCACCCCCATAGAGGGGGCCAAGGGAATCTGGGGCTCACCCCCATAGAGGGGGCTGGGGAGAGTCTGGGGCTCACCCCCATAGAGGGGGCCCAGGGAATCTGGGGTTTTCTCTCGAGGGGCCAGGGGGAGTCTGGGGGCTCACCCCACAGGGGGGCAGGAGTGGATGGGGCAGGAAGTGTGCAGAGGGTCCCCCCTACCCTGCAGTGCTGGCCCTGGGTGCCACAGCTGCCACACACGCTGGGGTACCTCTCTGCTAGGGGATTGTGTAACACCCGCGCTCCCAGAGCCAGGAAGGGGACTGCAGGGTTGGCGCTATTCATCCCCACTCTCCAGGGAAATCCCAACAAGTAGGCAATCTCCCCAACCTTGCAAGGGGCAGACACCCTCGCCCCCCAGGGCCCAGCACCCTGCAGGCATAGCCCCTTGCCTGCAGAGCACTACAGGGGTGAGAACGGAGTGGCCCCACACGGCCAGGCCCATACCCTGTGTGTTTTACAAGGATCAGATCGAGAAGTGCACTGGGCTGCTGCAGCGCCATGCTATATACAAGCACAGATAGAGCCAATGACCCAGGAGCAACCAAGCGGATAATCATGTTTGCAGGGCCTACAATCGTTGAAGGAGGCTTTTTTGAAGATCAAAAGACACAAATCTGTTGCATCAAAATTTCATCACAAGCCTATTCTGACGTAACCACTATTCTTTGCACCGAGGCCAAGAGGGACTCAATAGAATGGAAAGAACCACCCCGGTTGCTTTATTGTAGAATAAATAATTATGCACCCCAGCAATCATCCCTCTGCCTTACAAAACATCCCTTTTTGTCCTGCTGAGATGAACTCAGAAAGGCAGTAACCTCCACCTTCGGCTGCAGTACAGGAAAGTATCCCTTTGTACATCAGAAACAAAGGCAGAGCACGGCGCCCTGGGTTGCACCTTCTCTCTACAGACTCTGCTGGAAATCGTGTAGGAGGGAGCAGGGATGGGGATTGTGTTGCAGGGAAGAGGCAGGAGTAGTTCTTTACTTAAAAAGGAGATGCAGGAAAATTCACATTCCATACCAGAAGTTACCAGGAAAAAGTAGCACAATGGGGCAGCTTGACCCCCAAAGTCAAAGTCATATTTTCTTTGGGGGGGAGGGGGGGAGAGAAGAAAAAACACACAGCAAAAGCCAATTAAAGGGATAGCACCAATCCAAATAATTCCTAGCCCTACAATAATATAAATATGTATTTTAATTTACTTTTCACCATTTAGGTTGAATTTTTACATTCATTCAAGGTGAGATGCTGAAAGTTGCTCAGTTTTACCATTGTAGCCTTTATTTTACAAATCCTCATTTGAGACTGCCTTGGACTAGAAATCCAGAGAGCTGGGTTTCTGCCACCGATTTTTCACAGGACCCAGAACAAGCCACTTCCCCTGCTGTACTTCAGTTTTCCTTTCTGTATGAGGAGGATAACAATACTAATTTTCCTTTATACGATCACCACAGCAGACTGTGCTCTTAGCGTTCAGGGGGCAGACATACTGCATAGATACTTACTGTACAATGTCTGTGTCCTGTAAGAGACACCCTTGAAACATATCCCTAAAGCAGCTTATACAGTTCCTTGCAGGATTTCTTGCAACACACACCAAACATAGCTTGAAATGGCACACACACACATTCAGCTCTCCAAAAGACTGCCAGCGATGGAGACAGCAGGACACATTTCATCTTCAGTCGTGCATCTTCAGTCCTTTGAGTTTCACACACACGCTTAAATGTTCTTGGAAGGAGATGTGTGCATACACAATTCACTATAGGCCATTAAGGGAATCATAAGGTGACAGAACCAGTCGGCATAGCTTGAATGCAGTTGAACCCTAATGTAGTGGGATAGACACAAGTCCATCTTCACCATTCAGACAGAAGTTCTCAGGTGTCACACATGCCTTTAATTAATGAAAAACCCCATTCATTTCATTCAGCCCAGCAACATGACAGCTCAGAAGAGAAGCAATGCCTCAGGGTACAGTTATTCATGAGACTCATACTCCTCTCCTCCCTTTCCCCACATACAGTGTGGGAAATAACCTATGTTTTACCTGTCACCTACAAATCATCCTAGTGTGGAAATTTTGCCCACCCTCCTGCCTGCTTGGAGCAAGCAGAAGGCACAGCGTCCTACCTCATGTCTGTACCAAGATCCCTGGGGAAATGCCACTGATCATAGCACACTAAACGCTTCAACAACTATGTGGGCGAAAGCAATTACTAAGCTCTCGCATGAGCTCACAGGAAAAGGAAAAAAGATAAACACACCGTCACCTGTGGGTGAAAAAACCTTTCAGTCCTCATCCACAAAGGAAATCTGCACAACGCCTTCAAAGGACAAGCCTTGGAATTTAAATAACTTTCAGGCAGCAACATCAGATGCTGAGGGCTGATCTAATAGTCTCCCTTTCTTTTAAGGTTATTTTAAGATAACTCAGCATCAGCAAAGGCTTGAGGGGAAAAAAAAATAGCTCTTGGACTAAAAGCATTCAAAAAATGACCAGCACTTCCAAGTTAAAAAGAAATAAAAGTTGTTTTCTTCAATCCAAGGTGCAGGCAATGGACACAATAATGGGTTTTGTTTTAGTTTAACTGGTCAGTGCAGATGGAAGGTGCTACATTGACAGCTCCTGAAACCTAAAGTCCGCTCTCCACATAACGGCACAGTTCAAGCAGTGGCAGGACAAGCTGCTCTGCTAGTGTGGGTCAACCCTGAGGCTGCACAGCGCTGGGCCTTTTTGCCGAGACCGCCCCCAGGACAGTCTATAAGAGAAGGATGTGTGTACCCCAGGACTGCAAAATATTTAACACAGCAACACAAGGTTCAAAGCAGGACAGAAAAAGACGCTGCTCCCCCTTAAGAGATGACTGGCTCTGTAGTGTTTACAGACCTACTTTCTTTTGGAAAAATTAGAAGAAAAAGTTCCTCCTCTCAGAAAATTAAAGGCACAGTATACACAGCAACTCCCTACACTCTCAACCCTGTTATTTCCATGTTAAGCGTCAGTATCACTACTGATCTCTTTGTCCCTTAATCCAAACATGGCTGGGATGGCCCAGCATTGCCACATAGTGTTAAGTATTTCTCCTTTACCATAACTCTAGATTTCCTGGAATTTCACACGCTGCCCCCCCCACCTCCATGAAACAAAGTATTGTTCATGCACTTTAAAAACTCCTCAGTCTAGCTTTAAAATCAGCAAGCAAGAGGTTCTTGTATTAGTTAAATCACATTCAAATAAGAGCAGACAGGAAATCAGACATTCCCTTTTTATTACTAGAAAAATTTAAAAGAAAGTAATAGGGCACATCTGAGCAATAAAAAAAAGGGTTCCTCTGTTTAAATACCTCTCACACCCGTCTAGCAACAGAAACCGACTTATTTGGGTTAGAGACGGGCCCAATACAAAACCCCAAATTGAAAACACTCACAGTGTGGGGAAGTTTAGGCCCAGACCAATCTTTACTTCAGGCTAAATTATGCCCTCAGAGTCATACATCCCATTCCTATTGATTTCAATGAATGTTGTGTACACAGCCTTCAGGATAGACTCTGCCCTAAACGTTGATGGATATGTTTTAGATCTCAGCCAGAAAACACTTTGGGCCATGCTAGAAAGAACTCTAGGGTAACGCAGGCTTGTGGCTGTCTCGTTAGAGCAACCTTATAGCAGACTGCACAGCAGTTATACAAGCAGTTATGAAAATACTCTTATTTGGCAGCCTTCTACCAAAAGCCTTTGGGACTCAGATGTGAAGGTCACACCTCCACTGTCAAGCAGGTACAATATATGCTAATGGGTTCTGTCCAGCTGAGATGAAAGCTTCTGTGTTCCTGAACATAAAGTAATGAACGTTGTTTCCAGCTGCCACTGCATTATCATCATCTTCCCATCACAAAGCTGGGTTCTTCTACATCCTCCTCCTTCTCTTCCTCCTCCTTAGTATCCTCATCTTCTTCCTCACTGGTCTGTTGCTCTTGAGACTGGTCGGACTCTAAAAGGGTAAAGAGAACATGTTGATTACCTGTA